GGGAAAGGCCTTGAAAAAAGATTGATATGTTTGTGACCTTTTTTTAAAAATATACATTGAAGTTTTGGCTGCATGTATATCTGTGTGATGATGCCAGAACCCCTAGAACTGGAGTTACAGACAGTTGTGAGCTGCCACATGGGTGCTGGGAATTGAACCCAAGGTCCCTTGGAAGAGTAATCAGTGTTCTTAACCACTGAGCCATCTCTCCAGCCCTGCTTGTGACCTTTTAATGGGTCATGATAATCTAATATCGAATGTGTTCTTGGTTTGTCTTAAACTTCTTTGTGAGCTCAATTGGGTTATGTGGTAATAAAGAAGAGTGAGAACTTGATGGGGAATTGGCATATCTTTGAAAAACAACTTGAAAGGGTCACATGGAGCATGGGGATTCGAAGACATTGGATATCTGGATGTCACTCGACGAGTTCAGGGAGCTTCACTGAGCTGCAAAGTTAAGTTGAGTGGAATTGGAGGCCATCATTCTGAGCCTCACTCATGTTGCCCAAATGCTTGAATTCATCATCCAAAATCTGCTCTCCAACAAGTGTCCTGTGTTAGCATCTAAGACTACAAGGCTGCTTGTTTAATTGTTCTTCACCAGTTACCTTTAAATTCTGGCCTTTATTCTTAGTGCTATCTGCTGGCAGCTATAAGAAACTAAAGACTATAAAGCAGCCACATTCAACCAGTTACTTGCTTTGTGTACACCTTCAAGGACAGCTGGAAGTAACCAGCCCCTGTTACCATCTCATCAGCCACTTGGATTTCCAGTACTCTGTCATCTCTCTGCACCCATCCAGTGATACCTTACATGTCACTGTGTCTTCTCCCTCCCTAGAAGGGCTACCACTTACTAATGTGTCCCGTTTTTATATCTTTCCCTTTTGCTAAAAATAGATGCTTTTATCAGTCAGTATATCTGGATTACAGTTTCCTCTCCTTCTACCCCTTCCTGTTCCTCCTCACCTCCTCTCCCATCCAGATCCACTCCCTTTCTGTCTCTCATTAGAAAAAAAGAACAGGCTTCTAAGAGATAACAACCAAACATAGCAAAATAAAATAAAATAAGATAAAACAAAAACCATCACATTGAAGTTGGACAAGGCAAATCAACAATGGGAATAGAGCTCCAAGAGAATGTGCTAGAATCAGAGACCCACTTGCTCCCACACCAGGAGTCCCATAAAAATACTAAACTGGAAGCTATCACACACACACACACACACACACACACACACACACACACACACACACACACGTATATATTCAGAGGACCTAGTGCAGACCCATGTCAGCCCTGTGCATGCTGCTTCAGTCTCTGTGAGTTCATATGAACTTTGCCCAGTTGATTTAGAGGGACCTGTTCTTCTGATGTCCTCCACCCTCTCTGGTTCCCACACTCTTCCTGCCTACTCTTCCTCAGGGTTCCCTGAGCTCTGAGGGAAGGGGTTTGATGGAGGCATCCTATTTAGAGCTGTGTATTCCAAGGTTCTCTCTGCGTGTCTGGCTGTGGATCTCTGTATTTGTTCCTGTCTGCTGCAGGAGGAAGCCTCTCTGTAATGGCTGAACACAGCACTGATCTATGAATGTAGCAGCATATCATTAGGAGTTGTTTTGTCACTACACACATATAATTTTTTTGACCAGTAGTATTTGGTTTTACCCTCAGTCTCTGGGCTATCTGGTCTCTGTTTCTTGGCCACCCAAACAGTGTTGGGTATGGGTTCCATCTCCTGGAGTGGGCCTTGAGTCAGATCAGACATTGGTTGGTTACTCCCACAAGCTTTGTGCCACCATTGCCCCAGCATATCTTGCAGGCAGGAAGATTGTAGATCAAAGGTTTTGTGGCTGGCTTGGTGTTTACATTTCTCTTTTGGTTGCCTGCAGAGTATTTACCATACTAAAGACACTAGAACATGGGGGTGAAGGTTCTGTGTAGGCACCAGCTTGATCTCTCTGTATACAATAAGTTGTGTGGGTGTTGTCTTCAGCAATGGGCTTTGCTGTCAGTTTGTGGAGAGCAACTTATTGTCTTGGCAACAGCCTGGGTTGTTTGGGGATTTCCATGGGACCCATTGGCCAACAACTCAGTTGACTAACCCAGTACAAATACTAGAAGCTCCATTTGGTGACAAGAGATGGCCAGCTGGGACTCTTATTTCCCTCATGATTTGGAGACTTTATTAGGATCGCCTTCATATATTTTAGGAACTTTCCACTGCGCTAGTTTTCCATCCCACCTCTCAATGCCATCTCCCCTCTCACTCCCAACCTGACCCCTCCGTTCCCTTCTGCCCCCCCCCAGTCCACCTATAAAATCTATTTCATTAACCCCTCTCAGAGAGATCCATGTATCTTCCAGTCCCCTCCTCTATACCTAACCTCTCTGCGTCTACAGATTGTAGATTGGTAATCATTTATTTAATGGCTACTAGCCACATATAAGTGAACACATGCCATATTTATCTTTTGGAGTCTGGGCTACCTTATGGTGGATGATTCTTTCCTAATTCCATTCATTTGCCTGCAAATTTCATGTCATTTTTACAACTGAGCAACACTCCATTGTGTAAATGTACCACATTTTCTTTATCCATTCTTCTGTTGAGGGACATCTAGGTTGTTTCCAGTTTCTGGCTATTATGAATAGAGCAGTGGTGAACATGGTTGAACATGTGTCTCTGTGGTATGATTGAGCATCCTTTGGGTATATGCCTAGGAGGGGTATACCTGGATCTTGAGGTAGATTGATTCCTGTCTTTCTAAGGAACCACAGTATTGATTTCCATAGTGGCTGTACAAGTTTGCACTCCCACAAGTGATGGAGAAGTGTTCCCTTGCTCCACATCCTCCACAGCATGAGCTCTCACTTGTGTTATTGAACTTAGCCATTCTGACAGTTGTAAGGTGGAATCTCAAAGTACTTTTGATTTGCATTTCCCTGATGTCTAAGGATGTTGAACATTTCATTAAGTGTTTCTCAGCCATTTGAGTTTCCTCTCTTTAAAATTCTCTGTTTCGATCTGTACCTTGTTTTTAAATTGGATTATTCTGTTTTTTTGATATCTAGTTTCTTGAGTTCTTTTTATAGTTTGGATATTGGTTCTGTTTTGGATATAGAGTTGAAAAAAAAACCCTTTCCCATTCTGTAGGCTGCCACTTTGTCCAAATGATGGTGTCCTCTCCCATACAGAAGCTTCTCAGTTTCATGAAGTCCATTTATTATTGTTGATCTTAGTGTCTGTGCTATTGATGTTCTGTTCAGTTAGTCTCCTATACCAGTGCGTTCAAGACTATTCTCCACTTTCTCTTGCACTTTTTGATCCATTTGGAGTTGAATTATGTACATGGTGATAAGTATGGATCTATTTGCATTCTTCTACATGCCGACATCCAGTTATACCAGCACCATTTGTTGAAGATGCTGTCTTTTTTTTCCAGTGTGTATTTCTGACATTTTTTTTATCAAGATCAGGTGTCCATAGGTGTGTGGATTTAGGTCTGTGTCTTCAGTTCAGTTCCATTGATCAACATGTCTGTTTTTATGCCAATATCATGCTGTTTTTTTTTTTTTATTACTGTGTCTCTGTAGTACAGCTTGAGATCAGGGATTTCAAGAAGAACCTCCAGTTTTTTTATTATACAGGATTGTTTTTAACTATCCTGTTTTTATTTGTTTGTTTGTTTTTTCCATATGAAGTTGAGGATTGTTCTTTCAAGATTTGTGGAGAATTATGTTGGAATTTTGATGGAGATTGTGTTGAATCTGTAGATTGCTTTTGGTAAATTGGCCATTTTTAGTATGTCAATCCTACCCATCCATGAGCATGGGAGATCTTTCCATCTTCTGATATCTTCTTCAAATTCTTTCTTCAAAGACTTGAAGTTCTTGTCCAAGTCTTTGACTTGCTTGGTTAGAGTTATGCTAAGATATTTTATATTTTTTTAGACTATTGTGAAGGGTGTTGTTTCCCGGATTTCTTTCTTAGTCTGTCATTTGTATATAGGAGAACTACTGATTTTTTTTTTTTTTTAGTTAACCTTGTATCCAGCCACTTCCCTAACAGTGTTTTATCAGCTGTAGGAGTTCCCTGGTGGAATTTTTTGTTGTTTTGTTTTGTTTTTTGAGACAGGGTTTCTCAGGTATAGCTTTGGAGCCTGTCCTAGAACTCACTCTGTAGACCAGGCTTTGAACTCACAGAGATCCACCTGCTCTGCCTCCTGAGTGCTGGGATTAAAGGCATGTGCCACCACTGCCCGGCCCCTGGTGGAATTTTTCGGGTCACTTATGTATACTATCATATCATCTGCAAATAAAGATACATTGATTTCTATCTTTCCAATTTTATCCCCTTGATCTCCTTCATGTGTCTTATTGCTCTAGCTGAGACTTCAAGTGCTGTATTGAATAGATAGAGAGAGAGTGGACAGGCTTGTACTATTCCTGACTTTAGTGGAATTGCTTTGAGTTTCTATCCATTTAATATGTTGTTGGTTCTAGGCTTGCTGTAGATTGCCTTTATTATGTTTTGGTATGTCCCTTGTATCCCTAATCTCCCCAAGGACTTTTATCATGAAGTGGGGTTGGATTTTGTCAAAGGCCTTTTCTGCTTCTAGTGATATGATCATGTGGGTTTTTGTTGTTGTTTTATTTTTTTCTTTCAATTTGTTTATATGTTGGATTACATTTACTGTTTTTTTGTATGTTGAACCATCCCTTCATCTCTGGGATGTGTGTGTGTGTGTGTGTGTGTGTGTGTGTGTGTGTGTGTGTGTGTGCAGTTGCCCTCAAAGGCTAGATGAGGGCATCAGATACTCTGAAGCTGGAGATCCAGGAAGCTGTGAGCCCCCTGATGTTGTGCTGGGAACTCTGGCCCTCCAAAGAGCAAAGCTGGTATTGAGAATGGCCAGCTCCCTTGACTGCCGAGCTGTCCCTGCAGCCTCATAATGCTGTTTTTCAATTGGTTTGCTAATTGTGTTTTTTCCTGTTGTTTAAGGCTCCATGATGGAGTTTGAACATGGCCTCAAGAGGTTTCGTATTTTGGATTAGCTCATTGTATTTACCCTCTGCTGGACTTTGAAACTTCAGACTCAGTTTCTGTGACCTTGGAGACAGTGAGTGCAGAGATTGTACCATGGACTGCAAGGAGGAGAGCTGCCCGAGTGTCAGCATCCCCAGCTCTGACGAACACAGAGAGAAAAAGAAGAGATTCACGGTAGGTGTCGCAGGACGCTTAAGAGACTAAGTATAGCGAGTGTTTCCACTTCCGCCCGTGTTCTTTCCTACCCAGGAACCTGCCTCCTCTCCTCGGCACGTGTCCAGGTTTACTTTTGAAGGAGCTGTCCTCACAAAGCCCTCTGGCTGCTGTAACAGTAATTGTCCTTTCTTGCAGATTTTTGCCTATTTTCCAGTCCCGTTGGAGAGTTTTATGAGGCTCACATGCCCTCTTGTCAGATGTGTGTCTATAGACATGGGTCTGCGCACTCTTAGCTTTGTACACACTGTCAAGTGTTGTGGACTCCCCAAGTCCTTGAGCCCATGTTAAGGACTACTGTCTCGACATTTCCATAGTGTCTTCCGGCATTTAGTTACCTTCCACCACATTTTAAAAATGTTTTCCTGTTATTCCACCTTGAAGGTAAAGACATTTCTGATTTTGATTTTTAGTGCCACAGTATCTGCTGGAGGGATTTATAAACAGTAGGTACAATGAGTATGTGTTAGTAGTGTTATCAGTGACTGTTACTGTAAAGTAAACACTTTAATATGTTTGTTTACCTATTTATTTGTGTGTGTATGTGTTCATGTAGTATATGTGCACATACATACTGTATGGACGACGGAAGTAGTTAGGTATGGTGATATTTTATTTGTACTGAAATGTGATTTTATTTGTATGTTAATAAATAAAGTAGCCTGGGGGTCAGAGCTAATAGCAAGCCATAGCAGAAGCCAGGCGGTGGTAGCACACGCCTTTAATCCAGATCACATGACAGGCAGATCTCTGTGTGTTCAAGGATACAGCCAGCATGGAGACATACGCCTTTATTCTCAATACTGACCATAGAAGACCTGGAGGTCTGTACAGACAGGCAGTGACGAGGAGGTCATGTAGTTGAGTTTATAACCAATGAGAAGGCAGAACAGAAAGTCTATAAAAAGACAGAGACACAGAAAGGAGGTCTCTTGTGGAGGGAAGGACAGGGTAAGGTTTTTAGCGCTTAGCTGTTACTCTGACCTCTTGGGCTTTCATCTCTGCATTGACTCTGTGTTTCTTATTTAACATGATGGTTACATCTACAGTCAGGTGTCGTCCTCCGTCACTCTATGCCTATATCTGAGGCAGGGTCTCTCCGTGAACCTGGGGCTTGTGTTTTCTTGCTTACAAAAAGTAAACCTCCCATCTCTGCCTTCCTTCAGAGCTTGGATTACAGATGTGTGCAGAACACACAGCCTGTTATATAGTTCTGGAATCCAAACTCTTGTCTTCATGATTGCACAGGCAGACTTTTTAAAATTGTTTTTCATTCTCTTTGTGTGTGTGTATATATATGTATATCTATATAGATATCTAAATGTATACATATAGATATAGATATTTTTCCTGCATGTATGTCTGTGTACTGACTGTGTTTAGTGTCCTCAGAGGCCAGAAAAGGATCCCCTAGAACTGGAGTTACAGATAGTTATGATCTGTCATGTGGGTCCTAGGAACCAAATCTGGGTCCTCTAAGATTTCCCCTGTTCTGAGCCATCATAGTGGAGTTGTGTTCGGAGGCTATCTTTGGGCTGAATGATGAAAGTTAATTCTCTACCTGCTGCTGGTTTAATGCCAGATCTGATATTAGTGGGCAGGAAATGATACAGATTTTAGTCAAAGTTTTACGGTGTTTTAATTAAGTAAATCAACTTTTTGACTGACATTTTCTCACATCTAGTAGGGGTTATAATTTTGCTTGCTTCGAAGGATTGTTGCTTCTGATTCAATGAGGCTGTATATGAAGATATTAGATACATTTGTAAGATGGCATTAGGAAGATGTGAGGATACAATTTTTATTTGAAAAATGCTGTGTAGAAGATGATCTGGGAGGAAAAGAGGTAGTAGATGAGTGTTTACTGTTGCCTGACATCACTTTTGAAAGTACTTTATAATTTGAAGGCCCTAGTAAACTGATAAGTAAGAAAATGGCATCAGTTAAGTCTATAAATTTTTATAGACTTGGAAAAGAAAATATGAGGCAAGAATGGCAAAGAATTAGAATTCAGTAGCTCTGATCATGAGCACATATGTATCCATGGTTATTCTCTGGAAATAACAAAAATGTTATGCCAGTTTAGTGTGCTATTTTACTGGAGCTGCAAAGGTGAATCCCTTCTATGAGAGAAGCGATGAAGCCAGCTGGAGCCACCGGCATCGGTCACCTGGCATCGGTCACCTGGCAAGGGATGTGCTACTCAGATGTAGGGCAGTAGTACATAGTCTTTTCTTGAGTTATGTATTATGAGCTCATCAGGATGAAAAACCTCTCAGATTTTATTTTGTGTGTATGTTTTTTTAAAAGCTTGTTACAAAGAAGGTATTTACATGAAATTTAAAATGCAAGTGTTAAATTATCCAAAAGTAAAGAATAGTTAACATTGCTAAAACAAAACAAAAAATTGACCAGATGAAATATGTGCTTCACTTGGCATGCATTTTTATCTTGGAGAACATGTCAGCAGTTACCAGTTTCATGAATATTCAGACAGTTTCTGTGTATTTAAACAGCAAAGATTTGGTAACGTATATCTTTTTCGTTTCCACAGGTTTATAAGGTTCTGGTCTCTGTGGGCAGAAGCGAGTGGTTTGTCTTCAGGAGATATGCAGAGTTTGACAAACTTTACAACACCGTAAGAGACTACAGCATTTCTTCCTGTCTTTCTTTTTGTTTTTGTTTTTCGAACCAGGGTTTCTTTATATAACCGTTCTGGCTGTCCTGGATCTCGCTTTGTAGACCAAATTGGCCTCAAACTCACAGAGATCCACCTGCCTCTGCCTCCCAAGTGCTGGGATTAAATGCGTGTGCCACCACCACCTGAGCTACGACATCATTTCTATTTAAAGCTAAACACTTGATAAAAACCCCATGAGGGGAGTGATTTATTTGAATGAGTAAATCAATACATGTTACCAAGAAGAAAAGGGAAAGGGGTTCTCCAAAAACACTTTAACTTACAGTCTCATGTGAAATGTGGGAAGACCGTTCCACATGAACAGTGAGAGACGATGAGGAGCTCAAGGACATTTCAGTGTCTGACGACATTAAGGCACAAATACTTGTGCCAAGTAATAACAGTATTCATCAAAGCAGTTCTGGTTCAGATCTTCAGCTCTAAGCCCCAGATCTCAAAGTGTCAGCCGCACACTCCTCTTCTGAGACATTCTTAGAAGTCGTCAGTTCTGGGCTTCAAGCACTAAGACAGTTAAATGAGAGTTGCTTTTCCACCTGTCCACTGGAGTTTGAAATCTGAGAGACCAGTAGCTGTCTAAGTAACTGACGCCATTTCTATTCATAATCCAGCTATTAAATAGTTCGCAATCTAGCACCTTGAGTCGCACATAGTTTTTAACGTATGCAGTGAGGTACTAAGGTCATTGAAAGGCATCAGGCCAGATTCTGCCAGGGGCTGACTCTGGTGGAAGATGCTGTCTTAAAAGTCTTAGGATGCTCAGATCATGCCTTTCGAGTCCGTCACTGCAGAAGCCTGGATTGGAGCAGCTCTGAGTCCCAAGTTTTGCTTCAGTTATGGTAAACAAACAAGTAAACGAAAACAAGTGTGCTCCCAACTCCAAGTGTAAGCTGTTAGTTCTTCCATGCCATGAAAGATACTGATCTCCTGGTACATACAATGAGTAGGTTACTGGGCATCTCTAGAAAATTCTGCTTGTATTTAGAAAGGTAATCTTTCAGCCGGGCGGTGGTGGTGCACGCCTTTAATCCCAGCACTCGGGAGGCAGAGGCAGGCGGATCTCTGTGAGTTCGAGGCCAGCCTGGTCTACAGCGCGAGATCCAGGAAAGGCGCAAAGCTACACAGAGAAACCCTGTCTCGAAAAAAACAAAAAAAAAAAAAAAAAAAGAAAGGTAATCTTTCATTTCTTAACCCCATCTCCTGATTTTAACATGAAAATCTTGGGGCTGGGAAGATAGCCTTTGCTGCTCTTGGAAGGGTCCTCGTGGGGTGGCCACAAACACCTGGAACTTCCGGTGCCTGGATTTTTAGCGCGCACGCACATGCGTGCGCGCGCACACACACACACACACACACACACACACACACACACACACACACAAATACAGTTTGAGAAAATAAGTAAATCTGTAGAATGTCATTTGTTAGAGTTTTCAAAAATATATTAAGGAAGTTAAGGTTGTCTTGGCTGAGATGCCAACTGTTTCCCAGGTGGAGTGGGATGAATCACGGTGTTTCTGGTTTTTTTGTTGTTGTTTGTTTTTTGTTTTTTTAAGTCATTAACGTTAGACTTCTGACTCACTTATTTAGCATTTCACTGTACATGTCCTAAACAATACTCAAATTATACACTCATTGAAATTGAACTTACAAAAAACAGTGTTCTAATTTGAAGTAACAGTTACTTGTCCTGGTGTAAATTATTACATATTCTAGAAAATCTGGACAAAAGGGAAACTTAAACAGATCAATTAAACTATTGCCTGTAATGTTGCTACTCAGGGATGATGTGTACTGTTCTCTTCTTGTCTTTGTTTTTCATTAAAGCTTATGTAACTAAATCGCCTATACATTGTTTTATGCTGCTTACCTAAGGATTTTGAGGTAGTGACTGAGTTAAATGACAATTGAAAGAAAAATAGCAGCCAGGAACAGTGGGGTTGGCCTTGCAATTTTTCTAGTAGTTTCAAAAAATTATTTGTTTTGGGAGCTCGGTGAGAATTGACCTTTTGCTTCTCCTGATAGCCCTGGACACCCATCTCTCCACATTTCTCTCATTTTCTTCATCTTTTTATTTGATAATTTTGTCTTTTTTTTCGAGACAGGGTTTCTCTGTGTAGTTTTGCGCCTGTCCTGGAACTCACTTGGTAGCCCAGGCTGGCCTCGAACTCACAGAGATCCGCCTGGCTCTGCCTCCGAAGTACTGGGATTAAAGGCATGCGCCACCACCACCCGGCAACTTTGCCTTTCTTATAAATGTCTTTTCTATAAATGTTTTAAATCCTGCTTTTTGTCAGCACAAAATCATTCAGTTGTATTATTTAAAACTACATGCCGAGCGATGGTGGCGCACGCCTTTAATCCCAGCACTCGGGAGGCAGAGCCAGGAGGATCTTTGTGAGTTCGAGGCCAGCCTGGTCTGCAGAGCGAGTTCCAGGAAAGGCACAAAACTACACAGAGAAACCCTGTCTTGGGGAAAAAAAACAAAACAAAACTACAGGAGCCAGGCTGAGCCTTCATTCCCTGAGTTAGAAAACACAAATTCCTTTCCTTTGTTTAGAATAAAAAACAAGACAAAAAGTAAAAACTTCAATTTGTGAATATTTTTATTGTCAGCTTAAATATGTTTTTATGGAATGTGGTTTGTATTTTTAACTTTAGTTAATACAAATTGTCTAATAGGCAGTAGTAATTGTATTAGTATAAACAAGAAAATAATTAAATATTGCCAGGTGTGGTGGCGCACGCCTTTGATCCCAGCAGTCAGGAAGCAGAGACAGACAGATCTCTGAGTTCGAGGCTAGCCTGGTCTACAGAGTGAGTTCCAGGACAGCCAGGGCTACACAGAGAAACCCCGCCTCAAAAACCTAAAAACAACAACAGAAAGAAAATAATAAAATACTATCACCACCTTCAGTTACTGCTACGAGGCAGCTTGTTTCATGTTATGAACCAGTCGGTTGTAATTTCGGCACAAACCTGACATGCCATTTAATTTGTAAATATTTTAATATAATTTTATCTAAAAGATAAAAAGTGCTAAAAACACAGTATCACCATCATATCTAAAGATAAGGACAGTAGTTCCTTGGTACCGAATGTCCCGACTGTTTGTGTGACCAGCTGATAAGTGTGCTAAGTGTTTTTACAGTTTGTTGGTTGTGGGGGTACCATTTGTTTCCCCTCTTGAGTCTGGGGTTTGCTGCCTGTAACCTGCAGTGATGAGTGCATTCTTTTATTCTTTGTTTTTCCTGCTAGTCACCAGGCAGAGCTGTACTTTGTGTATGTGTGGATTTTCTATTGCGAGCTCACAACTTGACTGTCCTTGTTTAATTTCTTTCTGTATACAGTAGGTGCTCAGGATAGACAGCAAGTGCTTCTTCAAAGAAAGTCAGTGTTCCCTCAAGCAAATCTGATGAACAAATGTATTAATAAAGAGAAAGCTAGAGTTGAGAGTAGAGAAGGCAAAATTAATTCACTTTCTCTGAAAAGTGTTAATTATCTGTTGCTATAGATCACAAAGAGCACGTTTCCTGAGGGTTAGATGAGTAGTTCCTACAGAACCTAGACGCCATTTTCCAATCTAAGTGCTTAATGAATTTATCTTCTTCAACTGCACAACAAGATGCTCGATTCACCTATCCCCATTTTACAGACAGAGAAAAAAAAAACAAACTAACCCTGGCACAGAGATGTTAAGTAACCTGTCCAGGTCACATACATACTAAACAATTTAGTGGAACAAAATAGGATGGTTAGTCAGTCTGTGGCATTTTATTCATATATATTAGTATGGTGTGCTGTAGCATCATACTTAAAATGTCTCTTATAAATTTTCCTTAAGATCATATTGTATTGTGCAGACATAAATAGATTTAGAAATTAGCTCATGGAATGCTGTTTTTTAAAATTCAGCTGAAGAAACAGTTTCCTGCTATGGCTCTGAAGATTCCTGCCAAGAGAATTTTCGGTGATAATTTTGACCCAGGTAAGCACGAGCTTCACGGTCTAACTGCTGAGTTCTGATTGAAGTTTGAAGACATAGGTCGTGTGTGCTTTGAAGAATAGGATTGTTCAGAACTTGTTTGTTTTCTGAGGCAGAATCTTGCTATGTAGCCCAGGCTGGCCTCCAACGAGTGATCCCCCTGCCTCAGCCTCAGGCATGCATTGCTACTGCACCTTTTTTGCCCATGAGGCCTATGATGTACAATCTGCTTCACTGCTAAAAAGATGTATATACGATGCGCTAAGGACAGACAGCCAACGGTTTTCCAATAAGAGACAGTTTTCAGTGTCGAGGTACTTAACTCCCAGAGACGTAAGTACTGTGCGCATTAACTGCTCTCTGGCCTCTGTCGGCGAAGCTGTGGCTTTTCTGAAGCTTCTCCAAAGCCCTCGTCCAAGTTCAGGTTACGTGTGTGGATCTTCTAAGTTTTTAAGCTTTTATTCCTCCTTCAACATCAAATGCCAGTTAAGAGATAGCACTTTGTGCTTGCGTGTTCTCCCATAAATGTTTCACGATAATCCCGTCAGCTGACAGAAATACGACTGCTAGTGTGCGTCTGTCTCTCTTCCAGATTTTATTAAACAAAGAAGAGCGGGACTGAATGAGTTCATTCAGAACTTGGTCAGGTATCCAGAGCTTTACAACCAGTAAGTACTTTCCTTTTCTTCTAAAGGGACAGTGAAACCAAACTCGAGTCTCGATTGAACCTGGGATGAGGAGTTTATACTTTTGGCGACATGTTACTGTGTGGACTCTCCCTAGAGCACTTTCTCTTCATATACTTCATATACGTTCCCTTCTATACGTCTCCTTCCTTCTGCACGTGTGTGACGTCGTAGCTGGGTTTCTGTTGCTGTGCTCGAGCACTGTGGCCAGAAACAAGTGGAAGAGGAAGGGTTTATTTCAGCTCACAACTCTCAGGTCACACTCCATCCCTGAGGGAAGCCAGGGCGGGAACTGAAGCAGAGACCATGGAGGGACACTGCTTACCGGCTTGTTCTTCGTGGCTTACTCAACCTGCTTTCCCTGTGCCCAGGAACACCTGTACAGGGAGCACCACCCTGGTGAACTGGGCCCGCCCACATTAGTTATTAATGAAGAAAATATGCTACAGACATGCCTCCAGGCAAACACCATGAAGACACTTTCTTCATTGAGAATTCCTCTTCAGAGATGAATCTGGCTTGTCTCAAGTTGACAGAACTACCAACCAAGACATAGAAGTTTTATGGATTACTGTTTAAGTATATTTGCATTATATAGTTAAAGCATCTTGGTAATTGTTTAATAATATATTTATCCATAGCTTGGAAAAATATCTCAGGATCTGCTGCATTCGTTAGGATTAAGCTATATGAGTGTTGTCCGCATGTTCCAGAGGCATAGACAGTTTGACTCTGATCCTCCCGAGAGTCTCGGGCTCTGACCCTTTCTCCTCCCTCTGCTGAGATGGTCCCTGAGCCTTGCAGGAGTCAGGGTGATAATGTAATGTCCCCTTTGTGGCTGAGCACTCCCCTGGCACTCACTCTCACCACTTTGATCACTTGTGACAGCAGGGTTTTTTTAATATACACATGCACTTTATAAGTAACTGTCTTCTCTTGAGGATAGAAGAAATTTCCAGAACCCCACGAACAAATAACTAAGAGGTTTTAAGCTTAGAGTTTTTTTGTTTGTTTGTTTTTGTTTTTGAGATAGGGTTTCTCTGTTTAGCTTTGCGATTTTCCTGGGTCTCATTCTGTAGCCCAGGCTGGCCTTGAACTTACAGAGATCCGCCTGCCTCTGCCTCCCGCCTCCCGAGTGCTGGGATTAAAGGTGTGTGCCACCACCGCCCGGCTTTAAGCTTAGTTTTTAGCTGGCATTCTCTTTTCAAAAAATGAGATACTTCATATTATCTAGACCTTATCTTTTGTTTAAAAAAAAACACCTTCATTTTCATTTTAATTTCAGATTACCTTGAAAGACAGCATATAAAAGAGTAAGATGCCAACTAGCAAGTGTAGCATGAGCACTTACTGCATGCTTCTTGCTGCCGTTGGGGAAACACACTTTAAAATGGCTTCATTAACCCTGGTGATGCAGGCATAAAATCCCCATCCGTGTGTGTGTGTGTGTGTGTGTGTGTGTGTGTGTGTGTGTGTGTGTGTGTGTGAGAGAGAGAGAGAGAGAGAGAGAGAGAGAGAGAGAGAGAGAGAGGCAGGAGGATGAGAAGTTCAAGGCCAGCTTGGACTATATTATACCCTGTCAGATACTTTTGACAGGGGAAAGGTTTTTAAAAAAAACTTCATGAAAGTGTGATTTTAAAGTTATTTTTTTAAACTGGGATACAGTCGATTTCTCTGACCTTTGGATGAAAAAGGATTTTTTTTTTTTTTTTTTTTGGTTTTTGAGACAGGGTTTTTCTGTGTAGCTTTGCGCCTCTCCTGGAACTCACTTGGTAGCCCAGGCTGGCCTCGAACTCACAGAGATCCGCCTGGCTCTGCCTCCCTGGGATTAAAGGCGTGCGCCACCACCGCCCGGCCCGAAAAAGGATTTTTTAAAACAAAACAAACAAAAACCACATTGGCAGTAAATAATGAATCCCAAAGCAAACAATGGCATGTTTGACTAAAACCCTACAATAGTAAATAAAACTGAAAACCAAAAATACACAAAAATTGGCCTTGATAAAGGATGATAGATAAACGTACTTAACTGATAGAGAGCCGATGCAAACAAAGCTGATCTAAACAAAAAGACAATTTGGGGCTGTGGAGCTGCTCACTAGTCAGAGCACTGGCTGCTCCTGCAGAGGACTGGGTTCTCTTCCCAGCGTCCACAGGGTGGCTCACAACCGGCTGTAACTCCGGTCTTAGGTGATCTGACGCCCTCTTTGCATGCACTTGGTACATAGACATACATGCGGACAAAACACCCATGCACATAGAAATAAGATGGAAAAAAAAGTGGAAGAGGGAAGGTCAGCAGTTCAAAACCAGCCCAGGGCTCCATAATCTGTTAGAGCAAAGCCTGGACTATGTGAGACCTCAGAGAAACGAAGCAAGAGCAGCAAAACAAAGACAGGAGAGGAAATTGGAAACAAGGTTACCTTCCGAGAGCAGCAAAACAAAGACAGGAGAGGAAAATGGAGACAAGGTTACCTTCCGAGTGCCGCAAGCAGACTGTGGTGCACAGGCCAGCTGTCACCTGTCACTTAGTCCAGCCTCGAGACTGTCCCCAGCCCCTCTGAAGCCGCTCACACACCTCGTTTCAATTTATTCCTTTCCCAAGGTAACCACAAGTCTGTTTTTAAAAACATAGATCAGTGTGCTCTGACTTTAAACTTTTTCGTTTTGTTTTTCAAGACAGGATTTCTCTATGTAACAGCCTGACTGTCCTGGAACTCACTCTGTAGACCAGGTTGACCTTGAACTCGCAGAGATCCACCTGCCTCTGCCTCCCGAGTGCTGGGATTAAAGGAGTGCTCTCTATAATGCCTGGTCCCAAACTAAATGGTTTTGATTTCCAATTTTTGGGCTGGTTAGATGGCTCAGTGGGGACAGACACATGTCATACAGGCCAGGCCACCTGAGTTCCATCCCCACAACCCACAGAAGTAAGTGTAAAAGGCCTCTGACTTCCACATGTGGACCGTGGCACATCCTCCTCCTCCATATGCACAAATGAGAAATTTAAAAAACACTTAAGCCAGGCGGTGGTGGTGGTGCATACCTTTAATCCCAGCACTCGGGAGGCAGAGGCAGGCGGATTTCTGTGAGTTTGAGGCCAGCCTGGTCTCCAAAGCAAGTTCCAGGAAAGGCACCAACACTACACAGAGAAACCCTGTCTCGAAAAATCTGTCTTACAAGTCTTAATGTGGCCCTGGTGCTAAGCTGCCTTTGTCTGCAGCGCATGGAAGCTGTGCGGTGGAAAGGTGGAAGCCATGGAGTAACTCTTAGTGCATCTGTGTAACAAGGAACATAACATCTGTCAAATCTGATTGTTAGAGCCTTTAACAGCACAGGGAAATGTGCTGTTCACAAAGTAATTTGAAGCAGGAAACACAAGATAAAATTATAAATTTAGCATGACCAAAATTGTGCAGAATTATAAAGCTAACATAGTAAGATTGGAGATCCCTCTTCCCACATTGACGTTTTTTCTAGGTACTCAAAAAGTGAACAGTTCAGTGGTTTTCTGTGTATTCACAATGTTGAACAACCATCATTCCTGCCTACTTCGGTCACTTCAGTGTCCAGTCTCACATTTCCATGGTCTCAGCAAGGAAAATGCTCGGCATCCATCACTCTGCTTCTATCTGTGGGTCTCTCTGTTCTGGGCACCTCTTTTGAATGGAGTCATACAATGTGTGTCCTTTTTCTCTTCCTTTGTTCATTCAGTGTAATGTTCTCAGGTTCATCCCTGTTGTAACAGGTATAGTCTATTTCTTCTTATTGCTGAGTCCTATTCAAATAAACGGTTTACCACACTGTGTTCATCCATTTATCAGTTGATGGACACTTGTGGCATTTCTCCTTTTGTGCTGTTAGAAGCAATGCTACTGTGACTATTCATGCATGAAATTTGGGGGAATACATAAATGGGGTGGTATTGTGTTCCCCAAAATATTGTGCACCCTAATAAACTTATCTGGGGTCAGAGACAGAACAGCCACTAGATATAAAGGCTAGAAAATGGTGGCACTCACACCTTCTTTGCTTGTTTGCTTTTGTTTTTTTGTTTGTTTGTTTGTTTGTTTTTTTCGAGACAGGGTTTCTCTGTGTAGCTTTGCACCTTTTCTGGAACTCACTCTGTAGCCCAGGCTGACCTCGAACTCACAGAGATCCTCCTGGCTCTGCCTCACAAGTGCTGGGATTAAAGGTGTGTGCCACCACCGCCTGGCAAAGTTGTATTTATTTATTTTTTTTTTTGTGAGTTTTTTGAGACAAGGCTTCTCTGTGTAGCTTTGCGCCTTTCCTGGAACTCACTCTGTAGCCCAGGCTGACCTTGAACTCACAGAGATCCGCCTGCCTCTGCCTCCGAGTGCTAGGATTAAAGGCGTGCGCCACCACCGCCCAGCGGCACTCACACCTTTAATCCTAGCATTCCAGAGGTAGAAATCCTTCTAGATCTCTGCGATTTCAAGGCCACATTGGAAACAGCCAGGCATGGTGACACACGCCTTTAATCCCAAGAAGTGAGCCTTTAATCCCAGGGAGTGGTGGTAGAAAGCAGAAAGGTATATAAGGCGTGAGGACCAGAAACTAGAAGCTTTTAGCTGGTTAAGCTTCAGGCTTTCAAGCAGCACATCAACTGAGATCTATTTGGATGAGGACACAAAAGCTTCCAGTTTGAGGAAACAGGATCAGCTGAGGAACTGTCAAGGTGAGGAAGCTGTGGCTTGCTCTGCTTCTCTGATCTTCCAGGATTCACCCCAATACCCAGCTCCAGGTTTGTTTTTATTAATAAGACCTTCTAAGATTCCTGCTACACATATTCTTATGTTTTCACATGTAAACCTAAGAGTGGATGATTAGTAATGATATTTAACATTTGCAAATGGCCTCCTTTTTAAAAGTAATTTTTTTATTTTTCTTAAGTTGAGAAATATTATTTATTATGATTTGTATTGAGTTACTAAAACCATTCATGGAGCTGGATGGTGGTAGTGCATGTTTTTAACCCCAGCACTTGGGAGGCAGAAGCAGGCAGATCCTTGTGAGTTTGAGGCCAGCCTGGTTTACAAAGTAAGTTCCAGGATGTCCAGGCCTACACAGAGAAACTCATCCACGGACTAATGAAAATCCTGATTGATAGAGAGATAGATGATAGACAGACAGACAGATGTGTGTGAACATCAGGATAGCAATTTGACCATTTATCGGGATTTTCATTAGTCCGTGAATAGTCTGCTTTGATTTTAGTCCACCACCCACACCAGCTTATGTCTTTGTACCCATTTCATTTTTTTTTAATTTTTTTTCATTTTACATATCAATCACAGCTTCCCCTCACTCCCCTTCTCTGCCCCCCCCCCATCCACTCCTCAGAGAGGGTAAGGCCTCCCTTGGGGAGTCAACAAAGTCTGGCATACCAAGTTGAGACAGGACCAAGGCCCTCCCCCTCTGCATCAAGGCTGAGCGAGGTGTCCCACCCTAGGGAATGGGCTCCAGAAAGACGGTTCACGCACCAGGGATAAGTCCTGCTCCCACTGCCAGGGGCCCCACAAACAGATCAAGCCACACAACTGTCACCCACATTCAGAGGGCCTAGTGTGGTCCTGTTTCATTTTTAATGTGGAGATCTACTCTAATGTATATCCCTGTGTCTTTGGAAAGGCTTGCCTGCATCTGAGGGTAGTAGTGAACACATGGGAGGCCAGCTCTCTGCTCACCATGGTGCCAGAGCGCGGCAGGCAGCTGTACTCCACGCTGGGATGTTCCAGTGCTTGTCATCCGTGGCTGCCAACCGGTGCTCTCTATTGGCGGTTACCAGAGTTGGCTTACTCTTCCTGGTGACAGGTGGCCCTTTGCCTCCTTTCATTATGGGAGAGAGAAGGCTGAAAAATAAGCCTCCTGGTTCTTAAACGGACCTGTACATAGGGTGTCGTGTTCCCTCCCCACTCCACCCCTACCGCATGGTTTATAATGGGAATGTCTGGGTCCAGGAAAAATGTATTCACAGTTTCTCGAGTATTGCCAAACTGCTTTTCAGGAAGACTGCCTCGTTCTCCATCCCAGCAGCAGCACCTGAGCGTGGCCCTTCCTGCTTTGGGTATCATTCTGTCCTTCTGACTTTGCTAGTTAATGAATGGGAAGTGCATCTCACTATCAGTTGCCATTGGACTTCCTCTCCTGTGAACAGTCTGTTGATACCTTCCCCTGCTCCCTGTTGGGTTCCCTCCTTTTAGAAGTGGAACTTCTTTATGCCTGTTATAATAACGAGTGATGCCTTTTGGAGTTTTCTTGCTACAAATGCTAATATGGTGGTTTCCGTTTCCTGTTAAAAGGGAGACGAGCCGCACCCATGCTGTCAAAGTAATGAGGTCATCTTTGTTTTCAGTCCAGACGTCAGAGCCTTCCTTCAAATGGACAGCCCCCGACACCAGTCCGATCCATCGGAAGATGAAGATGAAAGAAGTGCTCCGAAGGTAGCCGGGCCGCTGTGCTTGTTAGCAGGGTAGCAAACGCAAGAGACGCAGTCTTACGTTAGACCAGCGTTGATTCAGAACCAAGTATCCGTATCTGGGCTAGGCTGGCTACACTGCGGAATACCTTGGAACAGTGTTGCACCATTTGTTGACTGTTCTCCCGTTTTTGTTTTTGTTTTTGTTTTTTCTTTTCCTGTATATGTGTGTGGTATTGTGTGATTCGTATGTGTGTGGAGGTACACGTGTGTGGAGGCCCGAGGTTGATACTGGGAATCTTCTGTAGTGCTCTTAGCATTTTACTCAATGTAGCAGGGTCTGAGAGTCAAGCCTATACCTCACCAGCATGGCTAATCTTGCTGTCTTGCTGGCAGCTTGCTCTGGGGATCCCCGTCTCCACCTTTGAGGCTGGAATTACCAGCGAGCCGCCATGCCCACCTGGCATTTACGTGGGTTCTGGGGACCCAAACTCTGGTCCTATTGCTTGTGGCAAGTGCCTTAACTACTGAGCCATCTCCCCAGCCCCCATCACTATCTCTAAAATACATAGAAATTGTGTTTTTATAGTAAAAAGCATAATGCAGGTTGTTCTTAATATTGAAACTAAGTAGAACAAGCTTCTTTTGGGAAGTTATTTTTAATATTCACCTTTGGGTGCTGTGAAGAAAGGAAAATTACAGAATGTAAATCAGGGCACTGTATGTGATGTAATTAGAAGTACAAACACCATATAATCTTGGAGAGCAGTTGAGCAGTGTATGTCAAATATAGAAATTACTCACCTAGGAACTTACGTAGATGACACAATCTTTCACACAGAAAAATCAGTGTTTACTTAAGCATGCTTGTCCTAATACGTATTTTTAAAGGAAGCTTTGGCATGCTATTATGTGAAATCAGTACATAAATTTTTATGCATATTCACACTGAAGTATAGTATCTGTAAAAGATAGACAAAGGTGAAATGAAATGATATATAAATATTTGACATAATCTGTTGGCAAGGATATGGATACTTAAAAATCACCTGTCTCCTAGTGCTTTCTATGTTTTCCAATTGTAGGCTGATCCTCTTAATTAAAGATAAGCTTTTCAAATAATATTTTAAGGAGTGAAGTCCTTGTAAATATGACTTTCCACATTGGTCTGCTACCTATGTAAAAATATTGTGGGTTTAGGTTATCAAAGAAAATGCATTTATCAAGAACTTTTAAATTGCATTTATTTATTTGTGCGTGCGTGTGTGCATGTATGCATGTATGTGTGGGCATGGGTGTGGAGGTCACAGGACAACTTGTGGGAGTTGGTTCTCTCCTTCCACCAAATGGGTCCCAGGGGAACCAAACTTAGTTCATTAGGCTTGGTGGCCAGTGTCCTCACCTGCTCCGCTTAGCTGTCTCACCAGCCTAATTACTAAGAACTTCTAAATGACCAGATCGAGTTCATCGCTAGAAGAGTTCTCATAGGCATCTAGAACTAAACCCCTTCATTGTATTGTTAGGGTATGTGGGGTATGTGCCATGGCATGTACAACTTTGAGAAGTGGGTTCTCTCCTTCTGTCCCGTGAGTCCCAGGGATCAAACTCGGGTTGTCAGACTTGGCAGGGAGCATCTGTACTTACTGGGCCATTTCATCAGCCCCCCAAACCCTTATTTATTTTATTTATTCATTTTTAAAGACTTAACTTCATTTTATTTTTTATATGTACGGGTGTTTTGCCTGGATGCATGTCTGTGTACCACATGTGTGCAGTATCTACAGAGTCCAAAACAGGGTGTCTGTTCCCCTGGAACTGAAGTCAGGGATGGTGGCGAGCCACCTGTTGGTCCTGGGAAATAAAACCCAGGTCCTCTGGAAGAGCAGCCTGTGCTCTTAACCCCTGAGCCATCTCTCCACTGCCCCCTCACTCCTATTTTAAGGAGAAAAATATGTCAGTGGAAATCAAGAAACTTAGAATCTCAATTAGTTGTCAATAAATTTTACCTTACCATCAATACAATGATTGGATATCATCTCTTAGCATAATAGGAACAGTGAAATACTGTCTAATTTACATTTGACCAATTTCCACCATTTCAGGGACATGCTCCTCTAGGAAAATCATTACCAAGTAGTAAATATTAGCTATATATTAATATAAATCAGGGCAGGAAAATCAGGGATAAATTGTCCAGGTTGTTTAATCCACACTTTGTCTTTTTACATCTATGTAAGAAAAATCCTGTTAAGGAAGGATGCCAGTAAAATAGCACATAAGCTAAAAGAATCAGTACATGAATTTATTTTAGATTTATATCATCAGAGTCCCTAAAACCCTGTATTATTTAATCCGTAAAACACTATATTACTTAATCCTGAGTTTAATCTCATGTTAAATTAAACCACAGCAGATCTCATTCCATGAACCAGGATATTTACATACTGATGAGTCTTGCATTACACTGCTGTGATTCATGTATTTCTCTACTCTGGGAAGTGAAAGTTTATTGCGTAAAAGTTTTTCATATCAAGGTATTAGATAGGAAATAAATTAGGGTTGTGACTTAAAAGTTAGCTTTAAATGTTTTCAAATAACAAACCTACTTAAGAACTTTTGAAGGCTAGGAGTGTTTGCCTTTTTTTTTTTTAATAAACTACTGTGTCTCCTAGAGATTATAAATCTGAAATCGATTTCTGTAAAAATATGATAAGCTTACATGGAATATTCTTGTAAACGTGTTTGTACTAAACACACATACAAGTCATTTAATTTCCTGAGTGTATAAAGAGCTTCCAAGTGGATTTATGGGAAGTAAATTTCACTTACACTTGGCTTTCATGAAAGTGCCTATTATGGCATGGGTTTGAAGCTCGGAGACAGAATGCATGCCCAGAATGAGGCCCTGTTTGATCCCTTGTACCTCGACAGTAAACAAATGCCTCCTATGACAGGCTCACTAAATTCACCCTGTGGAATTTTGAGTTGAGTTTCAAGCTATTACTGAACTAGAGTCTTTTGATGTTAAATTGTTTTTTGGTGTAGCAGGTGAGTAAGGATTCCCTGCTGAGTTGACCCTGGTCTTTAATATACTAGGTCTAAAATTTTGGAACTACTATACTTCTGTGGATCAGAGAAAGTCCTGATGTATTTACTTTAGAGATAATTTTACCAGGGCCTGAGAGAGAAATCAAACTGCCAGTGGGTGGACCTGAGTTTGGATTCCTGGTACACAGAGGAAAGCTGAGTTATGGCATGTAGCTCCAGCACCAGGGGTGGAGACAGATCCCCAGGGCTCATGGGCCAGCCAGTCTGACTGAAATGCCAAGTTCCAGGCTCAGGGAGAGACTGTCTTTAAAAAATAAGATAGAGAGTGATAGACCAAGGTACAGTCAGTCTCCAGCCTCCACACCACGCTCGAAAATATCTACTGTTCCTAGTCATCATTTCCATCATCCTGGCTTAAAAGTTTTCTTTAATATTTGAAAAGCAATTAGCCAGAGTAACCATTATGTAAATCTAAAAATGATTCCTCCTACTAAAGTGTGTTTTCGTTGACTTCATCCATTTTTTAACTCTGAGTATTGTTTCTGGCTTATCTTTTTTCTTGTAACTGCTCTTGAAAGTTTTTCTAATAAAAGTAACTGCTTATATTGATTATATCTCAAGAATTAGGGCTTTAGATTTCTTTAATGTATATTGTCGTCTGTGGTACAGTTATCTAACTTTATATCGAAGCATCCCTTGACTGATAGTGTTTGACACTAATGAGAATACTATTTTTTTTCTCCTCACTACATAGCCACATTCTACCTCACAGAACATCAACCTGGGACCAACTGGAAATCCTCAGTAGGTTTACTTCATTTCAACTTTTAAGAAGTGCTTATTTCTTGAGAATGTGCATTTATGTGAAGTGATACCATTTTAACTGGAGGCCGGTGAAGTATGTCAATCGTTACAGTGAATGTCATGTGCTTCAGGTCTCTAGCAGAGCCTGCTAAAAGGCTGGGCTTTTTGTTTTAAACTGTCTGTGTGTGTGCGCGCGTGTCCTTCTGTTCACATGTCACTTGTATGTGTTTATGTACATATTGTTAAACCTTGGTTCAACATATGAAAGAAAACTTATTTTGTCATTTCACCTTTCCCTTACCTTCAGATCTCTGCCTCCTTCATCGTCCTTTTGTTTTTATATCCTCTGTGTGTGAGAGAGGAGAGAGATTCTGTGTATTTAAATCTAAATTGTGCACATGAGAGAAAATGTGTGCCATTTGCCTTTCCAAGTCTGGCTTATTTTGTTAATGCATTCTTGTTAATCTTTATCTATTTACTATAATATTTAACCTAGACTAGTGTTAGGTTAAATGTGTATGATCAGACTGTAAACCTTATGTTTCATTTGTTTACTTCTTGTGTGAGTGGGTGTGTGTGGCATGGCATGTGTGTGGAGGGCTAAGGACAGCCAGCCTGTAGGAGTCAGTTCCTTGTTTGTACCACGTGATCCCCTGGGATCAAATTCAAGTCATCAGGCGTGCTGGCAAGCACCTTTACCTGCTGAGCTGCTGAGCTCATCAAATCAGCCTGCTTTTTGATTGGGTTGGGTTTATTGGTTGATTGGTCAATTAATTGACATTTCAAATATATATAAAAAAAATATGAGCCCTCTAGCACAGCTTAAGAATTCAGCCTGTCTGGGAGGAAACACTCCTCAGCATCCTACCTGCTACCATATGCATTTGCCTGTACACGGCCAGTGCTGTTTTTCCTGCTAGGCTAAAATAAATAAAAAAGCGATGTTCTTCTCTCTGGCTTTTGTTCCCGGCTTCCCTTCATTGCCATCCATGAGAATAGTCCAGAGAACGCTTTCATCTCCACGCGTAATAAGGGACTTAGAGGTGAAACACTGGAGGCTTCTCTCCACCAGAAAGCTTTCTTGGCATCTTTACTAGGTGCTGGCAACTAGTACCTTGTTTTCCAGAATTGCCCAGTACCAAGTACTACTTGAACTTAATGTAGTTATATTTCTTCACCAGTAACAGTGGTTATGTTTGTGATGAGTACAACTATCTTAGAAAGAAACTACTTTATGAGATATATCCATATCTATATATTATAATGCGTATAAAGGCTTGTCCCCATTTTTTTTCTCTTAGAGGGAATAGTATTGAAGTACCTCTTAGATCTTAAATGAGGCTTATATAATTTAATGGAGAAGGAGATCCTATTGCTCTTAATAAAGGCAATATACCAGTATAAAAGCTAGGGAAATCCTGCTTATGGATTTTGTCCCCCACATTAATTTGTTAACTTAATGAGGTACAGGAAATGTTTAAACGTTTATATCTTCTTTCTAGAAGACTCATTGTTTGCCCTTATTAATTTCTTTCAGTGCTAAACCAACTGACTTTGATTTTTTAAAAGTTATTGGAAAGGGCAGCTTTGGCAAGGTAAGTTTTTTGTTGTTTTGTTTTTTAATGTTCCCATTCCATGATTAAGCACTTAATGAGTTTCTGATTTACGTGCATGAGTCATTGGGAGTCATTGGGCTTTTTTTGTTTGCAAGATACGGAGTTGATACTCCTCCTCTGCCAAGTCTTGACAGAATTTTTAAGGAGACAAGGTGTGTGCTGAAATTCTAAGACGAAGTGCATTTGTTCAGTGTGTATTTACTGATAACTGGGTGTGTACCAAATGCGTGTCAGGGTTCTGTTGAGAAACCTGGCTTAGTGATGCTGGCAGCCTTTGCGGGTAAGTAGTCTATTAAGAAATGCAGCCAGGTAAATGTGAATAGTGATGGGGCTGTGTTGAAATGAGTAGGGTGAAGAAGAGATGGGGCAGCAGGCTTGTTTTCAAGAACAACCTTCTTGAAGATATCCTTTTTAAATGGAGGCTAGAAAGACTGAAGTGAGCATTCCTGTGAGTCATAGAGAAAGGAACAGCTGTGAAAGACCTGTGTAATCTCAGGGCGTAGGACCCATCAGAACTTGACAGTGTCCAGCCCTGCTGAGAAGGTCAAGGTTGATAGGAAAAGTGTCAGAGGTGAATTTATCTGAATCACTAAATATATTTATTCTTTTTGCAGTTTTAAAATCTGTAGTAGGCATGAATATGTATGTATTTAATTATATTTTCTTATATTTGTAGCTTTTAGTATCTTTAAGTTTTGAGTTGCTTTGAGAGCAGAAACTGACCGCACTGCTAATCCTCTTTGTGTTTGTTTATTCATCAGATACATAGTGATCACTTGGTATATGCTGGGCATTGTGCTCAAGCAGTGAGAGTTAGAGGTGGATCCTACTCCCAGTAATTACAGTTTATCAGAATATTATAGGTGGTCTGCCATTAAAGACACAAATGTTGCCGGGCGGCGGTGGTGGTGGTGGTGGTGGTGCACGCCTTTAATCCCAGCAGAGCCAGGCGGGTCTCTGTGAGTTCAAGGCCAGCCTTGGTCTATAAAGTGTGATCCAGGACAGGCACCAAAACTACACAGAGAAACCCTGTCTCGAAACCCCACCCCCCCCCAAAAAAAAAATGAACACACGCACACACACACATGTTGACAGATATCAAGCAGTTAGTGCCAATCAACCCTGGATAAATCAATCTCCCTTCCTCCCTCCCTCCCTCCACTGAAAACAACAGCAAACCATTAGCTGGATATGCTGGTGCATGCTTATAATCCCAGCTAATTGGGAGGCTGAGGTTGGGGGATTGTGAGTTCAAAGCCAGCCTGGACAACATAGCATGATGTCTCAGAAACAGCAAAAATAAAAATGTTGGGGTTCTGGTGTTTTTGAACTCTGCTTATGCCTAGCATCCACAGGAATTGGTTCTTGTATGTAATATGAAGTGTAAGATAACTATTCATCTTTTCCTTGTGGGTGTGTGGCTGATACTACAGTTTATTGAAACACTTCACCCAACAACACATACCGACCTTCAGGACCACTTCCAGCATCTGTCTTGCGTTCCCGTACGAACAAATCTGGATTTAGAGGTTATGAGCTGCAGTTGCTGGACTGTTATTTCCTCTTCCCTGCTCTGCTTGCTTTTCCCGGCCTCATGCTATGCTGTCTTGACAGCTGCAGCCTGATAGGCAGCGCAGATCCATTCCTTCTTCAGGAAGATGTTCTTAGCCCTTTCCATGTCTGGATAAGTTTTAGAATCATGTCTGTTACTACAAAATTTTGATGGAATTTAATTGGGATTACATTAAACCTGAGATGAGTTTGGGTGGGGGAGAATTAATGTCTTTATGATACTAAGTGTCATAATCTATTCACATGGTATAACCTTTTCAATAAATGAACATTTAAAATCTTTCTCAACATTTTATAATGTCCTATATATAATTTTATACCTGGTTTGTTTACATTTGTTCTTTGGTGTTTCTTTTTGAGCTGTTGAAACACCAAATGACTGTTGTTAGTCATTGATGCCGGGTGTATTTACAACCTGTGACACACTGAGCAAGAACACGAACGCACTAAGAAAGGCATGTACAAGCATGCTCAAAGCATCATTATTCATAAGTAATTTATCAGGAGAGCATATGCATTGTAATACAATGTTCTATGTGATAGCATAGAGCACGAAATTGATTCCATGTGCTCTAAGTATTATAGTTTAGAGTAAAAGAAATGAAAAAGGTACTTTATCTGTATAATTTTAATTACATAACTTTTAAAAGCAGAACTTACTAGTTTTTGCACATTAGGACAGTGGGATAGTCACCTTAGAGGAGGAGTCGGGTCAAGTCACGACAATGATGGGGCTTCAGGGGTTTTTATTTTACCTACATAGTGTCTATAGGTCTGCTCACTTTATAAAATCTTACCAAGATTTGTGTATTAATATATGCAAGCAGTGGTGGCACACACCTTTAATCCCAGCACTCGGGAGGCAGAGCCAGGCGGATCTCTGTGAGTTCAAGGCCAGCCAGGACTACAGAGTGAGTTCCAGGAAAAGTGCAGAGCTACACAGAGAAACCCTGTCTCGAAAAAAACAAAACTATATATATATATAATGCAAGCTCTGTTTAATAATAATTTAAAATTTTGTAAAGCAGTACAAACCCACAAGTTTCAATAAAATAAAAGCCTAACACACGAAAAGAAAGCAAGGCGAGCATGAATGCAGGGCCATCGCCTGTTTGAAAAATAGTAAAGTGTGCAAATAAACTAAACTTGTGTGTGGCAGTCCAATGTACATGTCACCTCTCTCCAGTGTTTGGTTTTGGTTCAATTTCCATTTGCTGATTGGCTTCTTAAATTTTCATCTGTTGTCAAATTCTCCGGTATACTAAAGACAGAAAATACTGTTGAGGGAAATCAGAGCCTTCTGAGTGCTGTAGCCTTCGATGTATGCTCTAAGAATGCATTGAGATGAGTCAGTCCATGTATCAGAGAAAGGAGGGTCAGAGGGGTGGGGGTTACCAAGAAAGGGGGAAAAAGCTAAGGAAGGAAGAACGTTGCTTAGCCCAGCGCTGTAGAGAATGTAAGGATGAGAGGAGACAAAAAGGCAGTTTGTAGAGGACATTTCATCCTAAGGTTTCTGGATTCTGTCTTTACGAGTTCCAAACATTTTATTTATTCATTTCTTTATTTATTTTTCAAGACAGGGTTTCTCTGTGTAGCTTTGCGCCTTTCCTGGAACTCACTCTGTAGCCCTGGCTGGCCTTGAACTCACAGAGATCCGCCTGGCTCTGCCTCCCAAGTGCTGGGATTAAAGGCGTGCACCACCACCGCCCGGCCAGAGTTCCGAACATTTTAATCAGTCGACTTATTTCGTGTACTGTGGTACATGGATCACAACAGACCACTGTTGGTGTATTAACACGTGTGCATTGTTTACTCCGATTTTGTAGCTTTTACTTTCTCTTTTCCCATCCAGCTACCACTTGACTCTTAGGTTTCATGTCTGCTTGGATTCTTCTTGGCTGTCACAGTTCCTAGACTTCCCTTTGCGTTTGATGATCCTGACCGTTTGAGGTCTAGTGATCGATCATGTGTGGTGTAGGAAGCCCCTCTGTTGGGCTGCTCTGGTGTTTTTCTCAGGTTTAGACTGAGATTGTATGTCTGGGCCAGAAGACAGTGGAGGTTGTAGAAGTAAGCCACACCAGTGTCACTGGTTGATGTGTTAGGTTGTCTCAGAATGCCTTGGGACAGCATGTCTTTTAGTAATTATAGAGCTTAATTGATGGTGGTCTCAAGTACCTTACAGTTATAGTCATGTATCATTTAATGGAAATGTGCTTGAATAAATGCATTCATAAGCAGTTTCACCACTTTGGGGACATCACAAAGTGTACTCACACAAACTTGGATATTACAACCTACTGTGTATCTAGGCTGTGCAATGTATACAGTTGTATCCATGTCAGTCATTGACCAAAACACTGTTACGTGTAGCATGACCTTGAATATGTCTCCCTTTTCTGATACAATATCCTGTTTTCTAATGTATACATACAAGCCAGACCATTATAAAAACATAACAGTCCATGTTGCCTCTTCCTCTGAACGCCTGTGAATTCAGAGCCTGTAAGAGAAGCCTGCATAAAGTAACAGGCGTTTTGTTCACTGAAAAAAAAATCATTTTCTCCCCCACCCTTATGTAAGCCAGGAAGTTTATGGCTTCAGTATTTCCTTTTTATTTACTTACTTACTTGTGTGTATCAGTGTGTGTGCATAGAAATTAGAAAGCAACTTGTGGAGTGGGTTCTTTCCTACCTCGTGGATCCCAGGAATCGAACTTGTCATCAGGCCAGGGAGCAGTCACCTTTACCCAATGCCCTTTCGACAGCCCTACTTCAGTGTTTTCTAAGCAGACTCTTCAAGGCTCTGGGCTGTCACGTACAGAGAGTCCTTGATGAATGTGTAGTTGGATGACTAATTTAGTCAAAATCTCATTACCAATTCATTAAGTAACAAGTAAATTATCTCTAGCTATTCAAATAATCAGTACCCCTTTTGTCTTAAAATTATCTAAGAAAAAGTAGAATTACAGAAGTAAACTCAGCAGTGTTCTGTCTTCAAAATAAAATACAGGTCCCTGTGGACTTGATTTTAGAGACTTTAAGAAGTAGTATGTATTGCCAAGGGACTACCCATACAGACTAACTCTCCAGGTGTTTGTAATCTTCCTAACAGGTTCTTCTTGCAAAGCGGAAACTGGATGGAAAATTCTATGCTGTCAAAGTGCTACAGAAAAAAATAGTTCTCAACAGAAAAGAGGTAAAATAAATTAGCTCTTGTTCTTCCTGAACCTGTTTTCTTTGTTAGCCATTGTTTTCTGATAAATAATACAAATCTATTTTTTGCCTTTTTTCCAGCAAAAGCATATTATGGCTGAACGCAATGTGCTCTTGAAAAATGTGAAACATCCGTTTTTGGTTGGATTGCACTATTCTTTCCAAACAACTGAAAAGCTTTATTTTGTTCTGGATTTTGTTAATGGAGGGGAGGTGAGTTTTATAATTAGCTGTGTAATACAGACAATGGCTAGAGGAAAAAAAAAAAGAGCACGAAATCCAACAGGTTGTTGTATAAATTTTGAGCTGACAGTACTTTATCAACAGCTGTTTGTAGAGTCAAAACAGTGTTCAGCAGACCACATGCCGTGCAGGACGTAGAGAAGTTACAGGCGCCGTGTGTGGTTTTGTCATCAAAGCTGTATCACAAGAATGGAAACTGAAATGTTAGCATAAAGCATGGTGTGTAATTTAGATAATGATTGTTTCAACCATTGCCTGTGAATGGTAGGTAGCCCAACACCTTATTTTCTAAAGTGAGCAAACTGTTAATCAGTGAGGTGACCCCTCCCATAGTGAAGCCAGTGTGGGCACGTCTCGTGTGTGCCATCTACCTGCTGCTGCTTACTGTATTTCGGGATGTTAAAGAGTCCGCAAGACCTGTCTCAGAGAAAGGATGTTGTTGTTGTTGTTTTTCCAAACAGTGTTTCTACAGAGAAACCCTGGCTGTCCTGGAACTCACTTGTAGACCATATTGGCCTAGAACTCAGAGAGATCCGCCTGCCTCTGCCTCGAGAGTGCTGGGATTAAAGGCGTGCGCCACCACACCACCACTGCCCAGCGAGAAAGGATTTTTTTTTAAAGAAAAAAAAAAAGATTGTTTTAATTACAGAGTCTCTTCTTTTGTAAAGTCTATCTTTACAAAGGAACCATCTATCCCTCCATCTCAGCAAAGAGAAAAAGACTTTCAGTGTTATGGTACTTCAGTTAACTATAGAATAGAGGTAACATAAAAGAGAATGAAATATAAAACGAGGCATAGTCGATAAAGAAAGTTGAATTCAGAGACGATAACTTGGCTGGTGTTACTGTGTTCCACTTCAGATTGAAGGTAGACATCTTAGTCACAAACCTCTCTCTTCCCTGGCTCTCTGTCTTTGAAATGTTGGTGGGAGACATCTAAGTGGATGAGGGACCGCGTTCCTCCTGTGTCTGCTGTCTTCATGGTGCTTTAGGATCCTTTTCACACAGCGCTTGTGCAGACCTGAGCATCGAAAGTGGAAGGAGGCAGGCTTGTCATCTCCAAGATGAGCTTTGCCAGGATAATTGGAAGTGGGGGATGAAGTGCTGTCGAAGCTGCTGGTGGGTGTAGGGGTTGTTAAATGTGGCTGGCAGTGGGTAGGCTGGAAGTAAAGACAGGGTAGAGGTGGAGTGTGGTCTCATCCTGTGTTCTCCGTTGTTGATTTTTCTCTTTTAGGGGCATTGTCCTGTTTTCATTGTTTTGAGACAAGGCCTTACTGTGTATGTAGTTCTTTCAGACTTGACACTCCCTAGGTACCTCTGGCTGGCCTTAAACTCGTGTCAGTCTCTGCCTCAACCTCCTGAATGCTGGGTTTAGAGGCATGTGCCACCATACCTGGCTCTTCATTTGTTTGTTGTTTAGAGTCTCACTACATAGCCTAGGCTGTAGGCCTCAAGCTCAACCCTTCCTCCTCAGCCCCCCGATGCTGGGTGATAGGCATGCACCACTGTGCCCAACTCCCCTATTGTTCTTGCCAACCTTGTCTCCCTGATAGTCATGATTAAAATCTTGACATGGGATATATGGAGTTTTTGTGTGCTGCTTAATTTCTTCATTAGAGCTAAGTGGAGTATCAAAAAATAAGTTATGCAATGCTGGGCAGATCAGCCTCTCTGAGGTAGCTTCCTCATTGATTTCCTACCTCAAGGCTATTGGGGAAATTAAATAATACAAGTATATAATGACCTCAGCATAGTGCTTTTGATGAACCAAGCCACCCACAGAGGCCTCGTATGCTAATTACATGGCAACATCAAAATTGTAGGTTTTCCTTAGTAATCTTTTCTAAAGTGGTTATCTGGAATGGTGTGGGTGCTGCCACATTGAGGACCGAGAGGAGTAATGGGGAGTGAGACGTCGGTAAGGGCGATCAAAGGTGCACGAGTGAAGACAGACATCGCGTGGGGGAAAGCGGCCGAGGATGAGCGGTAGGGGCAGGGGTAGGGGCAGGACAGCCCTGAGCTTTCCTGTACCTTCACACCGCATGCTCAGAGTATCAGAACCTGCTTCTGTGTGGTGCCACGTGGGCCCAACGCTGACGGCTTCTCTCTGCCTTTGCAGCTGTTTTTCCACTTACAAAGAGAGCGGTCTTTTCCTGAACACAGAGCGAGGTTCTACGCTGCTGAAATCGCCAGCGCCTTGGGTTACCTGCACTCCATCAAAATAGTGTACAGGTGAATCCTGTGTTTACGTTACATGGGAAATACCTCTCAAATGCTGTATTTCAGGCAACACTCAGACTTTTCTCTTTTTTTACTTTGATATAGAGACTTGAAGCCAGAAAATATTCTTTTGGATTCAATGGTAAGTGTTATCTTCTTAAAAACCTTGTAGTTTTTCTTTTTTGTTTTTACTGTTATGCATGATAGGAGAAACATCTTAGGGGTTCCTTACTGTATGACTGCATTTCTGTAGTATTCTTGAGGTGACATTAGGCTTCGGGGAGTCCTGTTTGTGTTTATAAGGGGACAAGGTTGAAAGAAGAGAGCCCACAAAGATAAAGGACTCGCATGGAGGGCCCCTTGTGATGAAGTAGTTCCCTATCTTGACTGGTGAGAGCTACAGCAGTCCACGTATATTGCACAGCACTGCACACACACATGCACACGCACACACGTACACACAGGATTATGCATATTCAAAATAGCGACACCAGATAAGGTCAGTATTATAATTAGGAGTTTTGTACTGATGACAGTCTCTTCCTTGACCTATGAAATAAAATGTCAGCTTTGGTGTACGCTGGGTGAGGTTATACTCTCTACCGCTTTTTGCAATTTTATTTAGTTATTTTAAAATAAAAAGCGTTTCAAAGTGATCAGTTCGGGCTCAGGGATATAACTCAGTGGATAGAGTGATTGCCTAGCATGCGGGAAGCCCTGGATTCACCTTACTGAAAAAAAAAAAAATAGGCACAGTTGCACATGCCTGTAGTCCCAGCACTTGGGAGGTGGAGGCAGGAGGATCAGTAGTTCCTGATCTCCTCCACTGCATGATAAGCTTAAGGCCCGCTGGGCTCTGTGAGACTCTGTCTCAAAAAACTAAAAATAACAGGCTGGCAAGATTACACAGTGGGGGAAGGACACTTGCCACAGAGTCCACAGACGCTCGAGTTCCGTCTCCAGGACCCACGGTGGAGAGAGAGAACCAGCCCTGGAAAGTGGTCTCCTGACCTGCACATGCACGTGGTTCTCTCTCTCTCTCTCTCTCTCTCTCTCTCTCTCACTGACTCACACACACACACTTCTCTGTCTCTCTTTTTCTATCTGTTGCACACAAACTCACACACACACAATAAATAAATGTTTAAAAAAAGGTTAAGGGGCTAGGAGGGATGGAGCAGTGGTTAGGAGCACTTGCTCGTCTTACAGAGGACCCAGGTCTGGTTCCCAGGATCCATATCAGGTTGCTCACAACCACCTGTATCTCTAGTTACTGAGGGCCTGATGCCATCTAGTATTCTCGGGCACCTGCCTTCATTAGTGTACATACACTCACCGGGGCATGCATACACACACATAAAATAAAAAGTTGTGACAGTTTAAAGCTTGCTAGTAGTTCGTGTCTATGCATTGCTTTATCTCACGGCCCTGTGTTTGTCAGGGGCATGTTGTCTTAACAGATTTTGGGCTTTGCAAAGAAGGAATTGCTATTTCTGACACCACCACAACCTTTTGTGGGACACCAGAGGTAAGCACTATGTCTGACCATTGATATAACTTATAAAATGTAATACGAGTCACACACTACACATACAGAAGAGGTGAAATAAAATTTATTAGGACTTCCAGCTTTCTGGGGATTTAGAGTGTATAGTGGAATTTCTCATTATGGTTGTGAAATGCCACAAGACCCTTTTGAATAATCTAACAAAGATAACAGGCTTACATTTTTTTAGTATTAAAAGGATGCCTTGAATGTCTTTAAACACTTAATTATATTTCTAATCTTTCTAAAAAGAATTCAAATAAGTGAAAATGTGCTAAAGTCCAGGGTGGAGATAGTTGCACTGCTCTGTGAATGTGCTGACAACATTGAGCTGTGCGCTTTGAAGAGTATTGAACATGTAAATAAGTATTGAACATGTAAATGAGTATTGAACATGTAAATGAGTATTGAACATGTAAATGAGTATTGAACATATAAAAGAGTATTGAACATGTAAATATTATTAAAGCTGTGTTTTCAAATGAGCTGTATCAGGGCTGGATATAGCTCAGCAATTAAGACCACTAGCTGCTCTTGTGAACTCAAGCTTGGAGTTCAGTTCCCAGGATACACGGTGTGGTTCACAACCATCCCTAACTTCAGTCCCAGAGGATCACACACCCTCTTCTGGCCTCTGAGGGCACTGCATGCATGTGGTGCACATACATAGGTGCAGGTAAATACACATACATAAAAACTAAATAAATTTAAAGATAGTTTTTAAATGAGCTTAGCAGATATGGAAAAACATTTTGTAACTGTAAGAAAGAAACTCATAGAGTATTTACCAGAACATATCCCATTCTCTAATCATGTTTTAAGGAGATAATGTGTATTTTATTTTTAATAGTAATCCTTATAGTTTGTTTTAAATCTTTCTGTATACATGTGTGTATACATGTATGGAAATGTCATATAACCCTCATTAATATGTACAATTAATGTGTATGAATTTATGATGAGGTTTTTTTTACAAATTAAAATAATTTAAGCTTTCTAAATTTGCTTGGGAATCAGCTACTGTAATTCTTAGTAATAATTCTCAGTATGAAGGGCATATGGGTAATTGCCAAATTAAGAACTCTTTTTTTAACCTGAGCATGGTGACAGGAAGCACCTCTGAGCTCAAAAATTCAAGGCCACCTTTAGTAGTGCAGTGAGACTGTAGGAACAGATGAACTTGGCCTGTAAGTGGAAACATTTTAAATAATGATCAGATGGATTTTTTTTTTTTGAGACAGGGCTGACCTCCAGGTCCCAATCCTCATGTCTTCCTTCTCAAATTCTAGAATAACAGGCATGTACTGCCTTTCCCATCTAAATTCTGAAATAATAAAGCTGATGGAAGACTTTCTCCCAAGACATACTCAGCATTATGATCTTGCGTTTCCGTTTTTTTCTTTATGGCCTTAATCTCTGGATAAGTGGTGTGTACTTGTATTCTGAAGTGTACCAGTTGATGTAAAAAAAAAACTCCAAAAAACAAGACAAAACAAAAAACACTGTGGCAGAATGAGAGTATACAACTCATTGAAAATCTAGATAATCTGCCTTTAGTATTCGTAGTAGTACCTAAAATTGGTTCACTTTATCTGTTCCTAAATTGTCTTCTGTTCACGGAGTTGCTGTAATGTTTTTATTTTTTTCTGTAGTATCTTGCTCCTGAAGTGATTAGAAAACAGCCCTATGACAACACTGTGGATTGGTGGTGCCTGGGAGCTGTTCTCTATGAAATGCTGTACGGACTGGTAGGTATTTCTGTCCTTTATTATTCCATTGCACTATTGATAATATAATAATAATCTCATTACATCGTCCCAGAGATGCTTAGATGACATGGTACTAGCAAAGCAGTCCCAAGGGCTGGGATTAAAGGCGTGCGCCACAACCGCCCGGCTTAGTTTTCAGTTATTAACGTATTACTATTATGTCTGAAAAGATAATGCCTCTGGGGTATTGCCTTTCATTCTGTTTTTATGGGATTGAATTCCTGCTTGCATTTCCAGCTTTCCTATCACTGGGTACCACCGATTTCCCTTCTGAAAACATCATGGCTTAAAGAATTCACTGAAAAAAAAATTATGTTTACTGTGCAGTTGAATTCCACAGTTTTCACTAAGACACTGAAGGCCAGCCAAAGCTATTGGTGAAATGGAAGTTTTATTAGTACACTGAGATATCACTCCAACACAGGGCAACCTATGTAGGCTCCTTAGTTTACATAGCTTCATAACAGTATACTTGTTTTCCTTTTATGTGTGGGGCGTGTGCGTGTGCGTGTGCGTGTGCGTGTGTGTGTAGAGACCAGAGCTTGCAGTACTGGGGTTACAGACATTCCTGGCATTTTATGTGGGTCCTGAAGATCTGAACTCAGGTTCTCATGCTTGGACAGCAAGCCCTTTGGTGACTGAGCCGTCTCCCCAGCCTCTGAAGTTTGCTCTCCTTTGGCCCCTTTGAAGGATTTGGGGTTGCTTTCTAGATAATTGTTGTGGTCCTCTAAGTATACAGCAGCTCCACGCAGTGACCTCTGAGGTGACAGCCAGAGCTGGTGCTAAATGCACCGTCATCAGCTAGGGAGAGAAAGAGACTCTGAAGTTCAGCATATTTTAGATTCCAAAGAATAATAGACAGACACAGACAAACACTGTCCTTCCCTCAACCGTGGATGGCTTGTTAAAAGCTCCTTTTTTAAGCAATGCTAGTGACAATGGATGTCAGATAACCACTTAATACCTTCACTTTATTTCGGTACGAATTGTCATCTAGATATGTCAGAATCCTTTGTATTTCTTTGAAGGGCTTGGAAGTATAAAATAAGGTTATATTTTAAAAGGCAAAATTTTTTTCTTTCTTATAAAAAAAGAAAACTGACAGGGCTATAAAACTCCTTTAACTTTAAATATTATTTTTATTTCAAAACTTTCAGCTAGATAATTAGCTGTAAGGCATTCTCCCAATACTGTAATCATCACATGTACTTATGAAGGAACACTATCTTCAGGTCCCTATCTACCTTTTGGATGACTTTATTCTCAAATCTTAAATCACTTGGTCTGTCTGGAATGCCCATTTCCAATGACTCTATCATCCATCATACCTCTGTGTCTTAGTCACTGTTCTTAGACTGTGAAGAGACGCCATGACCAAGACAACTCTTACAAAAGGAAGCATTTAATTGGGACTTGGTGGTGTTTTTGCTCATTTGGGGACCTGCCACCCAGCTCCCAAATAAATCACACCATGGAGGCTTATTCTTAATTACAGATGCCTGGCCTTAGCTTGGCTTGTTTCTTGCCAGCTTTCCTTAACTTAACTCATCCCATCTACCTTTTGCCTCTGGGCTTTTCCCGTTCCCTTACTTTTGTAAATCTTACTCTTGCTGTGGCTTACTGTGTAGCTGGGTGGCTGGCCCCTGGGTCCTCCTCCTTCTGTGGCTGCTCCTTTCTTTCTCCTCCCAGATTTCTCCTTCTGGATCTTCTCTCTGCCTGCCAGCCCTGCCTATCCTTTCTCCTGCCTTGCTATTGGCTGGTTCTTTATTAGACCATCAGGTGTTTTACACAGGCACAGTAACACAGCTTCACAGAGTTAAACAAATGCAACATAAACAAAAATAGCACACCTTAAAATAATTTTCTACAACAGGGACTTGTTGAGTTTCAGAAGCTTAGTCATTATTGTCATGGTGGGAAATACAGCATTGGAGCAATAGCTGGGATGTATATCCTGATCCACTGTTAAAGACACACTGGACCTGCCAAGGGCTTTAGAAATCTCAAAGCCCACCCCTAGTGACAGACACACTTCCTCCACCAAGGCCACACCTCCTAATCCTTCTAATCCTTCTCAAATAGTACCACTCCCTGATGACTAAGCATTCAAATATATGAGACTCTGGGGGTTAATTCTTATTCCAACCACCACATTATGATATGGCCAGTCATTGTTTTCTGTAAAACACAGTGTTACAAGTATGTGACTGAAAAGCAGTCCACAAAGAGTTACTGAAAAACTGACCCTGGTTCAAGTATGTGTTAAGCTTGATAGTGCCTTAGAGCTCTAGAATCTCTTTGCCACAGACTACCTACCGATGTGTGCATCCCCCAAGAGGCCATGAGTTTCTGCAACTGTCCGTACCCACCTGCTCTCTGAAGACCAAGGCCAAGGCCAGCTCTTGGTCCTGGCTGTCCTGAAATTCACCATATAGACCTTGCTGAAACTCACAGGGACCCACCGGCCCCTGCTTTCCAGGTGCTGGGATTAAAGGCGTAGGCCACCTCACATGGCAGTCCAACATGTTTTAAACCCTGTCACATAATTCACTAACCTGTTGTTTTGTTTTGCTTTTTTTTTCCCCCAGCCTCCTTTTTACTGCCGGGATGTTGCTGAAATGTATGATAATATTCTTCATAAACCCCTGAACTTGAGGCCAGGCGTGAGCCTCACGGCCTGGTCCATTCTGGAAGAACTCCTAGAAAAAAACAGGCAGAATCGACTTGGTGCCAAAGAAGACTTTGTATGTATTGCATTTCTGAGTATCAGTTGATAAACTTATTTAAAATTTGGAGACAAATCCTTATTTGGTATTTATTGAAATAGTTGTTACTATAGAGTTGAGGGGGAGGGAGCATCCTTGTCCCCAGTTTCCAGGGGTGTTTATTTACTTTACTATAGTTGTGTTTTCATTTGACCTTGGTAACCGGTACCCAGCTCCTGTCCCCTGCTGCTTGTGACCTTGGTAACCGGTACCCAGCTCCTGTCCTCTGCTGCTTGTGACCTTAGTAACCGGTACCCAGCTTCCGTCCTCCCCTGCTTGGGACCTTAGTAACCGGTACCCAGCTTCCGTCCTCTGCTGCTTGTGACCTTGGTAACCGGTACCCAGCTTCCGTCCTCTACTGTTTGCTGATTTCCATCGTGACAGATTCCCCTACCCATCTTCTTCTTATGAGGTGTTCTATAGTATATTTTTAACTACTTTGATTTTTTTTGTCAGTTTATTTTTTTTAGAAGAGTTTTACTACTTAAGTCAAACTCTAATGCTCCTGCCTCAGCCTCCAGAGTGCTGAGATTAGAAATGTGTGCCATGTCCAGGTGTTTTGTTTCTTGTATTTTGTTGCTACTGTTTGTTTTGTTTTGTTTTCAGGCAAAGTCTGTGTTGTGCAGACTAACCTCAAACTAGCGGCAATCCACCTGCCTCCGCCTCCCAAGTGCTGGGATTATAGGACTATGCCACCACACCCAACCTTAGAAATATAAATTTTTGTTGCTAAATAATACAAACATTTCCCTGAACTTACAACACAAATCACTCAACTCATAAGCTTTGTTGGGGTTTAAGACTTTGTAAATGTTTAAGGTGTTTTCTTTATTAAGGACATTTTAAGGGGCTGGAGCAATAGCCCAGCAGTTAAGAGAGCTGGTGTTTTTCCAGAAGACCTTAGTTTGATCCACGGCACCCACATGGCAGGTCATAACCATCTGTAACTTCAAATCCAGGTGATTCAACGCCCTTTCTGGCTTCCAAGAGTACTGTAGGCATGTGGTACACAGACATACATGCAGGCAAAACACCCATACACACAAAATGATCAAGTAATAATAGATTTCTCCTTTTTTTGAGAATTTGCTGACACCTCCTTGAGATAATTATGAGCTTTGCCCATTGTTTCAGATCAGGGAACTCAGTTTGCTGGTGTTACCAATATTATGTTAACATGTCAGCAAATTCACAAACCGGTGAGAAACATGAACGTTTCAGTTCCTTTTCCAGAGATTCTTTGGAGGCTGTTTTCTACCTTCAACTTGAACTGTGTGGCCAGTAGGTGCCTCTGCTAGTGCCTGGCCCGCCCCCGCCCGCCCCGCTCTCCCCCCCCCACACCCCCATCCCCCACTCGCAGCTCAGTGGGTACCTCTGTCCTTGTTTGCCTGGGTCTGGTTAGTGTTCATCCCTGCAGGCTCCATCCTTTCGATGAGCTCACCGTCAGAAATCGCAACACTAGATAAGTCCAGCTGCCGTGCCCTGGGCAGCTGAACAGTGCTGAAGAAAGTGTCAGGTTGGGCACGTGCAGTGCAAGCGTGCAGTGCAAGCTGCAGTGTGGTGGTTGCAGGCCTCCTCTGCACTCACCACTGCTGGCCAAGTTCCCGTCTCTCCATTCAGCTGATGCTCCCTGCTGCCTGCTCACTATCCCAAACCTTCTCTCTCAGCTTCCAGATTCCTGTGGCTTTTGTCTTTCATGGTGTTTCTGTGGGATTTAATTAATGCACTGGTGCTCAGCTTTTCCATCACTGGGGGCAACCCTCTAGTCCTTGTCCTGATAACTACACGTGTCACACTTTGTGATGTGCAGTCCATCTCCTCAGTTTTTACTAAGAACAGAGAAGGGCAGCCAGACCCACTTGTTAACCAAGGAATGTTGTGTAGATAGTTGCATTGACTGAATACAGCTCCAGCAGAAACCTGGGCATGTTGTAGTTTGCTCTCTTCATTAGAATGATGTAAGCTAAAGGTATACTTCAGTGGGATAACTGTTTAGTATGTTGTAGGGGTCCTGGCTTCGATCTCCAGCACCACAAAAACAAAACACACCAAAGTAAATGTTTCTGTTTCTTTAAGCTTTTTGGAATGTTTGTGTTGACCCCGCCCACCTCTTAGGGCAGATGATCTTTCCTTCTGCTTTACTGGGCTATTACTACTGTGTGAGTGGGGGGGTGGGGGAGCTTCCTACTGCCTGCTGTGATCTTAGCCTGAGCTGCACCTACCTCATCTTCTTGTTGCTGTGGAAAAGGTCTGTCTCCACGGATGTCCTGGACCCTAGTGCTTTGCCAGGGCCTATGTGCGCCTCTGCCTGCACAACTACCTGCTCTCTTTTATTTTTCTCACTTCCAGTTGGTAGTGAAACATTAACAGATGTGTTCCTCAGCTTCCTCTTCTAGCCAGTTCAGTGTCTCGGCTTCTCTTGGAGCTCACACTTCCCTTGTAACTGCCCTGCTCTATTTCTGGGCCCTTCTCTTTACTCTGCTGTGTGAACTGTTCAAGATCTTCCTCAACCCATGAGGTGCACAGGGCCCCGTGGTTGGCCTCAGACCTCTTCTTGGGGCAGTGGCTCTGGTTTCCGTCAAGTCTTCACGTCTTCGGTCCAGAGCCCTCTTGCAAACTCTGCAGACTGACAGTGTCTGCTTACACACACTGCCGCCTGAGTCACTTGAACGCCTTGGTCAGAGTATGTTCTAAATTGAAATCCTGGGCTTGGGAGATGACTCTGTTGGTCAAGTGCCTGCTGAGCAAGCAGGAGGCCCTGCATTCAGATCCCCAGGGCCCATGTGGAAAACTGCAAGGTGCATGCTTCTGTAGCCCCCCACCCCCAACTGGAGAGGTGGAAACAAGAGGGTCTTGGGAAACTGAGCAGCCTGTCTAGTTGAATTAACACCAGATTCAGTTAAGCTTAAGGTGGAGAGTGATAGAAAACACCAGGCATTTCCTCTGGCTTACATAATACATACATATGCATCATATACACAAAAATCCTCTAAAACGAGAATGTTCATATTCAATCTCATTTATTTTAATTGAAATCTTCCTGATACTCTGTGCTCCTTTTCAAACTAAATGTTCCATTTGGTTATTCTGGCCAGAGTCTGAAACACAGACCTCACTTCTTGTTTCTACCAGCTTCCATATTTTATCAAGTGTGTGTGTGTGTGTGTGTGTGTGTGTGTGTGTGTGAGAGAGAGAGAGAGAGAGAGGGGGGGGTGGGGAGGACAGGAGAGGAGAGGAGAAGAGAAGAGAGAAGATGAGCATGAATGAGAACATTCCTTCTCTGTGCTGCAGGACTCTTGCTTCTTGACCAGACTAACTCTTTAGGGTCTTCATGTTCGTCTGGAGCATTCTCCCTTATTGATTTATTGTCTGGTTAATTCTTTTTTTTTTTTTTTCTTTTTTTTTTTTTGTCTGGTTAATTCTTATGTATCTTTCAGACATCAGTAGTCAGGTATCATTTTCTTTGTTTATGTGTGTGCATAACTGTGTGTGTGTGCGCGCGCATCTGTGTGTCTGTCTGTGTTTTAAGAAATAAAAGCTTACTTTGTGCACTGTGAGTAGCAGCAGATACGGCAGTAGCAAAAGAGCAGCCCAGGACCAGAGAGACGGCTCAGAGGTCGAGTGCCGACTCCTATGCGGGAGGAACAGAGTTTGATTCCCAGCACGCGTACTGGGTGGCTCATAAACATCCGTAACACCAGCTTCAAGGAACCTGATACCTCTCCTGACCTGAGGGCACATGCGCACACACACACACACATACACAGACATACATCCACACATGCGCGCACACACACACACACACACACACACACACACACACACTAAACTAAATCTTAAAAAACAAAACAAGCAAACAAAAAAACCTATCTACTTCAATTATTGCTTTAAGAAATCTTTTACCCACCACACTGTGTTGGTAGACTCCTACTCTGTTACTTTGTAACTTTGTAGAGCCCTGACAATCAAAAGCTAGCACAAGAACTGTGGTGTGTTTGGAGGTAGCCTTGGCCTTGGCTCTCACTTCCGCATAAGCCTCTGCTGACCTTTTATGTGTTTTCAGGTATTAGTTATTTATACCTGTGTAATGATTTATTCTTTTTATGACATTTCATTCCCACGTTTTATGCTCATCTTGTAAAAACCCATGAAATACGTAGGACAGAGTGTTTGATCCTGTTTTACCTGTGGGGAAACTGCCTGTGAAAGACACATTGCTTAAGCACAAGCAGCTGATTCTAAGTTAGTCTTTCCAGGGTGTGACCAGGAGCGACAGAAATATCCCATTGAAAAAACTGAATGCAAAGTGGAAATAGTTCAACCTTATGACATTCTTCATTGAGTGCTTAAGTTTTTGTCATTACTAAAACGTCTTTTTTAATTTTCTAGCTTGAAATCCAGAATCATCCCTTTTTTGAATCACTCAGCTGGACTGACCTTGTACAAAAAAAGATCCCACCACCGTTTAATCCTAATGTGGTAAGTCTGTATTTTTCCTAAAGTAGTGAAACCTAGAAGTATGATTTTGGAAATAGATCCCTGAAGCTAACTCAATAAAAAGGAGTCGGTGCCTAAGTGTTGTGTAGTCTGTCTCTGAGAAGCTTCTAGCTCAGGGGTAGAGGACTTGCCTAGTGTTCCACAAAAGAAAAAAAAGAAGAAAACAACAGCAGCTTCAAGGTGACCAATAATATCATGGTTCCATTAAGTGTCTTCCTACATAGTCACTATGAAATGCTTCTTGGCAAATGTCAAAAGGATGGTCTTAATAAAGAGGTGGAAACTAAGGTAGCCATTATCATTTCTGTCTGTACTAAACCAACATTCATGTGATGATAACGATGTTTTCCTGGGACGTGTGTGTGTGTATGTGTGTGTGTGTGTGTGTGTGTGCATGAGTGTGCATGTAGACAGGTTCTCTCACTGGACCTGAGCTCACTCGTTTCAGCTGGGCTGCCTTGCCATTCAGCTGCAGAAATTCACCCTGTCTGCCTCCCTGGTGCTGGAATTACACATGTCTAACACTGCTCTGCTGGACATGGTCCTGGAGATCTGACTGTAGGTCCTCATGCTTGCTTGCCAAATACTTTATCAGTTCAACTGTACCCTTAGCCCTAAGCAAAGTCTTTTTTAGAAAATCATAAAATTGTTATTAAAATGTTACGTTCATGTTAGCTAAACTTATTAGATCTTCTGTAGTTTACCTATAGATATATTTTTAAGAAAAAAAGCTGGTCAGAGATGTGTTTGACAGAATGAACAGCATGTAAAGTCTTAGAAACTAACATATAGTAATAAACAAATTGTCAGTAGTAATGTTATAACCCTTGGTAGCTTTCTTTGTATAGATACATACTTTGTATTTGGCTGTTATTTATAACATGCTCCTCAGATGAGCTGTGAACTTACTACAGTTAATGTTCTCTTTAGTATTATCTGTTTCTAAATGAGTGAGTGAATGGACAGACAATCACAGCTGGATGAAAAGTGACAGTGTCAATATTCAAATCTGGGTGGGACTCCAAAGCCGTTGTTGTGTTTGCATGGGGTGGGATTCCAAAGTCATTGTTGTGTGTTTGCAAGGGGTGGGATTCCAAAGTCATTGTTGTGTGTTTGCATGGGGTGGGACTCCAAAGTCATTGTTGTGTGTTTGCATGGGGTGGGACTCCAAAGCCATTGTTGTGTTTGCATGGGGTGGGACTCCAAAGTCATTGTTGTGTGTTTGCATGGGGTGGGATTCCAAAGTCATTGTTGTTGTGTTTGCATGGGGTGGGACTCCAAAGTCATTGTTGTTGTTGTGTTTGCATGGGGTGGGACTCCAAAGTCATTGTTGTGTGTTTGCATGGGGTGGAACTCCAAAGCCATTCTTGTATTTGCATGGGTGTGCATTCACATGTGTGCGCCTTCCTATGAAGGCCAGAGGAAATCCTTGGTGTCATTCCTCAGGCATCATCCATTTGGTTTTTTTATTGATGTTTTGAGACGAAGACTCTCACTGGCCTGAAGCTAGCTAGGCTGGCTGACCAGCGAGCCCAGAGTCTGGCTGCCCACACCTCCCCAGTGCTGGAGTGACACACCAGTGTGACTCAGGTTCTGTTTAGCGAACAAGCAACGTCAGCCAGTGAGCCATTCCCCCACCCAAATCTCTTCATTTGATGTTGCTGTGAAACACAGGGGATAAGGAAATCACTTCAAGAAGTCAACATGATTCTCTGTAGTCTGGTTAAATGTCAGATTCTGGGCATAAGAGCTGTGATCGTTTACACCTCCCAACATAACAGTATCTGTATTCTGACTTATTTCATGGAGTTCAGCATTGATGGTTTCAGAAATGACTACTCTGGTAAGAACAGTTTTTGTCCTGATTTTCACTTTGGGGTTAGAGAGATTCAATCCCCATTCTTACTTCACTAAAGAGGAAATAGGTGTCTAGAGAGAAGGTAATTATGTAATGAACTGCAGCTGATACATTCCATAGTCAGAATTTGATGAAGTTTTTTGGTGTGGCTCATATTGGTTTGTGTCTATGTTTTTGAGTATGTCAGTATGGGGGTTTGCTGGAGACTGACATTGTTAAGCAGGTGCTCTATCACTGAAGTAAATCCCTAGCTCTGAAATTATTTTTTTTTAAGATTTTTTTATTTATTATGTATACAGTATTCTGCCTGCATGTATGCGTGCAGGCCAGAAGAGGACACCAGATCTCATTACAGATGGTTGTGAGACACCATGTGGTTGCTGGGAATTGAACTCAGGACCTCTGGAAGAGCAGCCAGTGCTCTTAACCTCTAAGCCATCTCTCCAGCCCTCTGAAATTATTTTTTAATAATTTATTTAATTTGATTTTATGTGCATTGATGTGAAGGTGTCAGATCCCCTGTAACTCAACGGTTGTGAGCTGCCATGTGGGTGCTGGGAATTGAACCTGGGTCCTACGGAAGAGCATCCAAGTGCTCTTAACCACTGAGCCATCTCTTTAGCCCCTATGAAATTATTTTTAAATATTTATTTGTTTGTTTTTTTATTTGTGTGTATATCTGTGTGTGTCTGAGTGTGCATATGAGTACCATATGCATCCCTGGTGCCTGCTGAGGCCAGAAGAGGGCATTAGATCCTCTGGAACTGAAGTTAAAGGCCATTGTGAGCCATCAGATGTAGACGCTGGGGACCAAACCTAGGTCTTCTGAAATACTAACATTCACTTTTTAATTTTTTTGAGATTTTATTTTATGTATGTGTACAAGTGTTTGCCTGAATGTATGTCTGTGCTCTGTGTACATGCAGTGTTCATGGAAGCCAGAAGAAGGTGTCAGATCTCTTGGAACTACAGTTATAGATTACTGTAAGCTACCATGTAGGTGCTGGGACTTGAACCTGGGTCCTCTGGAAGAGCAGCCAGTGCTATTTTCTATTATGATTTTTTAAAAAATAAGATATATTTTGATCATGTTTTTCCCTCCCCCCAGTTCTGAGATCCTCCACACCTTTTTACCCACCCAACCTTATGTTCTCCCTCCTTTAAAAAACAATACACAGTCAGCTGGGTGTAATGGTGCACACCTTTAATCTCAGCACTCAGGAGGCAGAGGCAGATGGATCTCTGAGTCCAAAGGCAGCCTAGCCTGGTCTACAGAGGGAATGCCAGAGCCACTAGAGAAACCCTGTCTCAAAAAAGAAAAAAAAAAAACCACAAAAGCAAAATACACACGTACATATATACACACATGTGTGCCTGAAATTCAGGGGCTTCATAAGATGGACACGGAGCCCAATTGTCTGGTAAGAAGCAAGTCTTGTGGGGTATGGTGGCGCACGCCTCTAATCCCAGCCTTCAGGAGGCAGAGACAGGCGGATCTCTGTGAGTTCGAGGCCAGCCTGGGCTACAGAGGCCAGCCTGGGCTACAGAGCCCAGGACAGCCAGAGCTACCCAGAGAAACCCTGTCTCAAAAAACAACACACATACACACACACACACACACACACACACACACACACACACACACACACGGAACAAATAAAAGTCAAAGATAAAGAACCAAGGACCCATTTAAAAAAAAAAAAAGCCCAAAGCAAAATGAAACAGAAAGTCCACAAAATGCCATTGAGTTTGTTTTGTGTTGGCCAACTCCTCCTGAGCATGAGGTCTGCCCTGAAGGGTGGTTACTATACCCAGGAAGACCACTGGAGGAAACTGATTTTTCCCTTTGCCAGTGGGCATCAAATGAAGATAGCTTATGGTTAGGGGTGGGAACGCATCAGGCTTTAATCTGTGCAGGCTTTTTGCACGCTGCCATAGTCTCTCTCAATTCATATGTATCAGTCCTGTTGTGTCTGGAAAACACTGTCTGCTTGTAGACACCTTTCACCTCTGACTCTTACAGTCTTTCTGCCTCCTTTTCTACACAGATCCCTGAGCCTTCAGGGGAGGGCTTTGATGAAGACATCTCATTTAGGACTGACTGCTCCAAAGTCTCTCACTCTCTGCATGTTGTCCAGTTGGTCTCTGTGTTAGTTCCTTCTGCTACAAGGAGAAGCTTCTCTGATGATGGCTGAGAAAGGCACTGACCTATGGGTATAGCAGTATGTTATTAGGAGTCATCTTATTGCTTTTAGCAGAATAATAGTATTACATTTTCCACTAGTATTAGTATTTCCCCTAATAATAGTATTGCATTTCCCATGACCTGTATAGTCTCAAGTTCTTGGACACTTTAGCAGTGTCAAGTATGGCTTCCATCTAATGGAGTGGGCCTTACATTCAATCAGAGTGGTTGGTTGCTCCGATAACATTTGTGCCACTATTATACCAATATATCTTGCAAGCAGATCACTGTTGTGAGTTGCAGGGTTTGTAGCTAGAGTACATTGATGATTGCCTTTCTTCTTCAGTAGTGTGCAGAGTACTTTTTAGTACCATGAGAGTTTAGTAGGGGTTAGGTGCCAGCCAGACTTCTCTGTGCCTTCTGTAGGGCTAGACTGATAGATGGAAATGGCTTAAATTTGGTTTTATCTTGGAATGTTTTTCTTTTCTTTGTCAATTATGATTGATAGTTTTGCTGGGCATAGTAGTCTAGGCTGGCATCTTGTTGTCTCTTAAGAGGTTTAGAACATCCGTCCAGACCCTTCTGACTTTCAGAATCTCCATTGAGAAGTTAGGTTTTACTCTAATACACCTGCCTTTTTATGTTACTTTATCTTTTTCCATTGTAGCTTTTAATATCCTTTCTTTGTTCTGTACATTTAGCATTATGATTATTATGTGTTGTAGGAAATCTCTTTTCTGGTCCTGCCTGTTTTGTGTTCTGTATGTTTCTTGTACCTTGATAAGCACTTTTTTTTAATTCTCTCATACATTGCATCCATTAGTTTCCCTTACCTCCTCTCCTCCCTGTCCCTCCCCCGCCACTCCCCACCCCTGCCTCCCCTCTCTTCCATATCAACTCCTATTCTGTTTCCCTTCAAAAAAAGGGGGCAGGCCTCCCCAGGATATTCACCAAACATGGCCTAACAAGATACAATAAGACTAGGCACAAATCCTCATATCAAGACTGGACAAGGCAACCCAGTAGGAGCAAAAGGGTCCCAAGAGCAGGCAGAAGAGCCAGAGACACCCCCACTCCCACTGTTGGAGTTCCCCAAGAACCCCAAGCTACACAACCATCAGGTATATGCAGAGGACCTAGCTTAGACCCATACAGGATCTGTGACTGTTGCTTCAGTCTCTGTGAGCCCTTATGAGCCCTGCTTAGTTAAAGCTGTGGGTCATGTTCTCATGGTGTCCGCTACCCCTCTGACTCCTATAATCCTTCCTCCTCCTCTTCTTCAGAGTTCCCTGGCTCCACCCTAGTTTTAGGCTGTGAGTATCTGCATCTGCTCCCATCAGTTACTGTTTGATGCCCCTCTGATGACAGTTGGGCTAGGCACCAATCTTTGAGCATGGCACAATATCATTAGGAATCATTTTATTGACTTTTTTTTTTTTTGCCAGTTGTGTTTGGTTCTAACCTGGTTCTTTGGGCTGTCCTGACTCTGGTTCATGGCTGGGTTGATGTCCCAATCCCACTGCTAGGAGTCTTGCCTGGTTACAGAAGATGGCCAGTTCAGGTTCTGTATTCCCCCTTAATAGGAGACTTTGCTAGGGTCACTCTCATAGATTCTAGGGAGTTTCCACTGCACTGTTTCTACATCACCCCCTAAATACCCCCCAGTTCCAGTGGTCTCTGCCAGTACTCTTCCCCCCCACCCCCCCACCCTGATCCCTTCTCTTCCCATCCCCACCTACCCCAGTCCGCCCACAAAATCTATTCTATTTCCCCTTCTCAGGGAGATACAAGCATCCCCCCCACTTGAGCCCTCCTTGTTACTTAGCCTCTCGGGGACTGTGAATTAGAACATGATTATCCTTTATTTACTTTATTTAACAGCTAATGTCTGCTTAAAAGTCTGTCTTTCTGGGTCTGGGTTACCTCACTCAGGATGATTTTTTTTTTCTAGTTCCATTTTCTTGCAAATTTCATGATGTCATTGTTTGTAACAGCTGAGTAATACTCCTTTGTGTAAATGTACCATAATTTCTTTATCCATTCTTCAGTTGAGGGACATCTAGATTGCTTCCAGTTTCTAAATAAAGCTGCTATGATCATAGCTGGGCAAGTGTCCTTGTGGTAGGATGGAGCATCCTTTGGGTAAGAGTGATATCACTGGGTCTTGAGGTAGATTGATTCCCAACTTGCTGGGAAACCACCATATTGATTTCCAAAGTAGCTGTGCAAGCTTTTACTCAGCCTGCAGGCAGTTCAGCAGGTTGGAGAGTGTCTCTTCCAGAGGCTCAGTTGATCTAAACCTCTTTCAGGCAGGTCAGCTGGTTTCTGCTTCTTCTGGACAGCTTGTCTGGTCACAGAATCGTCTTTGCAGTTTGGCTTCTTTATTCTGAGAGGGTGGGGACTACTGTATTTGGTCAGTTTTAGGGACTTCCTGAAGCTAGTTTGAGTTGTTTACCTTCCTGCTTAAGGAGTTTCCCTGGAGGATGGAATGTTTCAATCTTGGAGGAAACCATTACACAACACTTGGTGGGGATTACCTCTGAAGTTTTTGTTTAACATTCAAAAGTTGTCATTTACGGTTTTATTTCAGTTTGGGTTTTCTTTAGTGATTCTTTTTCTGTGTTAAATTTTCTTTCGTGTCTGGAGTTGTTTTCATTATTTCATTCAACTGTTTTCTTTGTTGTTGTTGTTTTTATATACATTCAACTGATTTTGAAGTCCTTGCCTTGTGCGTCCACCATATGCGTTTTCAGGGCCTGCTGGGTTTTGACACAGGTCCATTGTCTGTGCTGTTCGTGTTGGTTTTTATGCTGGGGTCTGGGCACCTAGAGGTGCCGCGTTTGAGGTGTTTCTTGGTGTCACTCTGCTCTTGGCTCTGTTGGGCGAGCGTGCTGTCCTTTGGGTGCTGTCACCCTCTCTGGATCCTGAGAAAGTGTGGTGGCTGTGGGGTCCCTGGCAGAGAGTGCCTGTGCTAGTCAGGGGGTGACAGAAAGGAATGGACGTGGCCTTGGAGGAAAGTCGGAGAGGGTCGGTGTGAAAGAGCTAAGCTGCATCTGCACTGAAAGGTGGAGTCCTCAGGGAATGAGGTGCGGGGAGAAGGGACTCCTGCAAGTAAGCGGCTCCAGAACTAAAAGGAAATCTGAGAAGAGTATAATGGAGGACAGGAGAGATATTTCCTCCCAGCCTGATGTGGCTGGCGGGGGGTGGGGGGTGGGGGGGGGTGTTGCTGACACAGAAATGGAGATGGCCTTGAAGAGAAGCTGAAAGAGTTGGTGAGAAAGTGCTAAACCAGGTCTACCCGTAGCCAGTGCTCTAACCACTGAGCCATCTCTTCAGCCCTTTTTGAATTCCTTTTAATTCTAAAGTCTTTAATGCTCTAATCCCAGAGAACTTTGTACTCTGAGGGAGATTTTCTTACATGGAAGAACTTAGCATTCCAAGCTCATTCCTTGTTCTCTGATTAATTTGTCGATTTACAGGGCTAACTAATATCCTGGGGTTATTTTCTCTGCCCCAGTCTCTGTCTTAGTGACTCAGACTTCTTGATCTGGACTTGTTAAGGATTTCCCTTCCCTGTAGAGCAGAAATAGTCTAGAGGTTTAGCCTGCCTTTTACAAGCACATCACCTGAGTTTGTATCTCAGTTCCTATCTGTAAATGTAGTTGAAGAGAAGTGGTCGGTGTCAACATCAGCGTTGAATGAGAAACGCTGCCTTGGAGCTGAGCATTTTGCCTTGCTCATCCTACTGTCCATCAGCTGATGCCTCAGGCCTTTACAGCTAAGGATGTCCCCACCAAGAGCTTCATGACCATCTCTGTAGTGCAAAAGCTTCGCTTAAAACATCCCCACTCCTCCCTTAGAAAGCATCGCCTGTCCAAATGATAAACTGAGCAGGCAGGCTCCAAGTAAAATACTATCCTGGAGCTCTCCCTGAGCCTTGTTCCTGCACATAAGGATGGTGATGTCTTGAGAGAAAGGTGTGTGTGTGTGTGTGTGTGTGTGTGTGTGTGTGTGTGTGTGTACACATGTATGTGTGTGTACGCTTCCAGGCATTTGAAATGCTGCTATGCTAGTCTTTCTTACCATTATCATCACTACCTACTTAACAGTAAAATTTTAGCTTGTTAGAATAGACAAATCTCACCTTAATAATAAAAGGGGGCAGAGGGAGCAGAATAATAAAGTAGGGGAAATCAAAACTTGGCAGGGAAAATACACAAAGCTAAATACAGAGAAAAGCTAAGGTGAATGATCCTGTGCTTTTGGTGTTGTAGGCCGGACCAGATGACATCAGGAACTTCGACCCAGTCTTCACGGAAGAGGCGGTTCCCTGTTCTGTGTGCGTGTCTTCTGACTACTCTATAGTGAATGCCAGTGTTCTGGAGGCAGACGACGCGTTTGTTGGTTTTTCTTACGCCCCTCCTTCAGAAGACTTATTTTTGTGAACAGTTTGACATTCAGAAACCATTGGACAAATAAATTCAAGCCTGCGGAGAAGACAGAAACGCCAATTTGTGTGAATATATTCAACTATGTATAACAGTGCCTCATTTTTACATGTAATGTTAAAAACTATGAAATATGTATTTTCTGCTGTAAGCCAGAAATAGGGCATTTCAAAGAGCTGAGTTTTGAACTGAAATTTGTATTCTTGTTTATTAAGCTTATTTTTAAACAAAAATTTAAAGCTATTATTCTTAGCATTAACCTATTTTTAAAGATAACTTTTTGCTATTGACTGTTTTTTCCCTGTTAAGTTTACACTAACACATCCAAGATAGACTGTTTTTAATAGTCTGTTACAGTTAAGTAAGATGTAGTAATATCTTTATAATTCTATGACTTTTATCATAGCAGAACTATGCAAATGGTACCTGACAGTTTAAGAGGAAACCCTATCTTCCCATGATGAGTCATTATCTGAAATTTGCTTTTTGTTAGGATTCAAATGCAAAAGCAGGTTAAACACCCTGGCTGCTCGTGAACAGTAATAGGCTACTCACCTGCGGCCCCTGTAAGAAAAAACAAAAAGAAATCCTTTGCTTTTGGAATACTCAGTTCTCATCCATGCGTCATTTTTCTTCTAGAGGAAAAGACAATATTTAATGGCTAGGAAGTTCTAGAATTCCCAAGGAACTGAGAAGTAATAAAATGCTACCAGATATTTTTAGTGGTGCCAAAAATAAATGTCTCTTGTCATATATTTATATTATAAATGTTTTCTATTTATGTTCCTTTTGACTCTTTGAAGGTTTAGTAGACTGTTGAGTAGGTCTAAACCTTGGTGTCTGTTTTTGCAAATAGCTATTTCAAAACTGCCTTCCTAATCGAGTTTTTTAAATGACAGGAAAAAAAGTAATTTTCTATAATGTTTACCTAATTGTGAATTAAAAAGTAAAATAGCAAATCTGGGTCGGTGTAACTGTCTGTCACTTCCTGCATTGTAACGAAAGGTAATAGTGACTGAGCAGGTACATGTTCAGTATTACTCATTTGGTAGTGACAGGGATCAGACAAACACAAGATCTCATGAAGGCTGATAGGAGTTTTCACTATGTCTGAAGTCCACACCTGCCTCTGGGATCCTTATACATCTTAGAAATAGCACAGAAAAGTGACCATAAAATCACATGTCATCTAACATCTCCATCTGTAATGGTAAAGGATGTTAGGTACAGAGAAACTATTTAAGAGGGGTGCTCAGCTTGGGAAGCCCCTTCCTGGAGGACAGACAGTCTTTCAGGTCCTTTAGGAAGCAGTGTTGTGAGCTTAACTGCCCTAAGAACAAACTTCCCTTACATGTGTTATCTTGATAAAGAGATGACAGAAACATTTCTCACCTTTGGCTTGAATATGTTCAGCAGATTTGGGCTAGGCGGTGCTTGGCTTTGGGTGGTATATCTGTGCAGGACACTGGACCTTCCTACACTGTACATAGTTGATTTGGGGCACTTCTGTAAGCTCTACTTTAATACAGAGTTTTTTTGTTGATTATAAATCAAGACAAGTTGTACATGTATGATTTTTTTATTCAGATCCCTTAATTAAATTGCCAAAAATTAAAGTGCAATATTGTATTTTTAAGAACAAATTTTAGACTTTTGATGTTTCTTGGATCACAAGAAATACAGATCTATGTAGCATAATAAAATATCAGAAAGATTTACGATCAACATCTAGTTCCTGTTGTTATTTGAAATTAAAATTAGTAATGGTTACAGTAGTACCACTAAAGTGAATTATTTTGTGTGAGAGAAAAAGGTATAAATCTTAATCAAATTATTTGGGTAGACATGAATTACGTATGAGTCAGGAAACAAAGTTCCAAGGTTTTCTTTTCTCCCATACTGGAAGTCTTTTATTAAATATCTGCCTTTTGAACGGTCGACTGTTTCATGCTGACTACAGAAAGTGTAAATGAGGGCTAGTTGTAGTCGGGAAGTGAGTTCTGCTTGTTAGTGTTGTTTTCAAGGATTTCTCTCAGTGTAACCCAGCCTGGCCCCAAAAGCAAGATCCTCTCAGTTCCGCCGCCTCGACCTGGGCTGGTGGCTTGTTAATTACAGCTTGTAGAAGTGGGATTTTTTTTAACCATTTGCCACTAAAGGTAATTTTTACTTGTTTTGTTACAGATCATTCTCCCCAGGGCAGTAAAGGTTTGTTGCTGGGGGGGGCCTCCTCCTCATAGTTGGGGTCTCCCTGATGGAGTCTGGTGAGAGAGAAGAGGTTTTTTGTCTCCTGAGGAGCAGTCTCCTTTACCTCCCCTAAATCCCTCCTCCAGTATTTTCCAAGGGATTATAGTGCACCCAGAGTTTTTTGAGAACACAGTAATATGAAGCTGTATCATGAATTTCTGATGGTCTGAGTACCTTGAAATAAGTCACGTTGATGTTAAAAAAAAATTAACAGTCAAAATGAGTGGCAACACCCAGAATATGTATAAGAATATTGGGACTGGCTAGAGAGATGGATCCAAAGTTAAGAACCCTTGCTGTTCTTGCAGAGGACCTGGGTTTGATTCCCAGTACCTTCCTGGTGGCTCACAATCACCTGTAGCTCCAGTTCTAGGACTCCAACCACCTTCTGGTCTCCTCAGGCACCAGATATACATGCAGATACTCACATAATACACACAAAAATGAAAACAAGTAAATCTATAATTTTTGGTTTTTTTTTTTTTTTTTTTTGGTTTTCGAGACAGTTTCTCTGGGTAGCTTTGCGCCTTTCCTGGGTCTCACTCTGTAGACCAGACTGGCCTCGAACTCACAGAGATCCGCCTGGCTCTGCCTCCCGAGTGCTGGGATTAAAGGCATGTGCCACCACCGCCCGGCCTCTATAAATTTTTTTTTTTAAATATTTGGATTCTTTTCCACTTTTCATGTTTATTAAACTAATATAGGAAAGAATGTTCTTAACTTCACTGATAGAATTCTAGTTGAAGCTTTATCTCGTTTATGTCACATTTTTTAGTTACATGGCAAATTATGTAACTATTCATTTGCAGTCTTTTAAATGCATTCCTCAGTGGATAAACAGACTTATGTACAAATAATTTCTCAGGGTGGGCAAGATGGCTCAGCGGGTAGGGACAGCTGCCACCAAGGCTGATTCCGTGAGTTCAGTTACTGAGACCCACACAGTGGGAGAGAACCATCCTCCATAAGCTGCCCTCTGACCACCATGCACACCCCCCCCACACACACACACACAGATGTAAGTTTTGAAAACGGTTTTGATTCTTCAGTGTTCAGTTTTACACAAGTAAGCGAACTGAGAAGGAAAATTCTACACTGTCTTCCAATGTAATTTTTGAAAATTCAAAGTTGCAACAGCAGAGAAAAACTAAAATAACTTAATAAAATAAACCAGATACTGAGAGTCATTGTACAGCAGTGAAGTGGTCAAAGAAGCCTACAGGTAAAAACGTGCGGTTGCTACAAGGTGAATGTTAAGGCAGTCAAGTAAGTCACTCTTTAGCCCTGCCCACCAGGAGAACCAGACACACTGATGATTTTACAAACACTGCCTATATTCAAAAGTGACATCTCAGCTCTTATCATAAATTCTCTTTAGCTGGAATGAATCTCATAGGTTCATTGTTTCTCGCACCCACCATACTTGGAGCAATTAATAAAGCTAGGGGTTAGGTATTTCTACTTTAGCTTTGGTTAAATATTTGTGGCAAAGTCTACAGTGAGTGATCAATATTTAAATGTTTTTATGTTTTAGTAGTTAACTTATGGAATGCAGAAGGTTGAAATACAGCACTATCAGGCCACACAAATGGCCAATGGGAATCACTGTTGGACTTTTTCAGTTCTTTTTAGATAGTAAATACAGCCTTGCTGCTGGTAGGTTTTCCTGTGACCCAGTGGTGACAATGAATCATTCAAAAATAACAGCTTATAGGCTGGTGAGATGGGTCAGCAATAATGATGCTAGCTGAGCTTGGTACCCAAGACCTGCATGATGGAAGAAAAGAGAGCTGACATCAGTAAGTTGTCCTGTGACATCCATGTGTGCTCTGGCGTGAGTGCACACACAATAAATGTAGTAGTGTGTTTTTTGTAATTACAGCATATGATGGGGGTATTGCTCAGTTATAGAGGGCTTGCTTGTCTAGTGCCCCTGAGATCCTGGGTTCAATTCCCAGCATGTATATATATTCGCATGTACACACTAGTTTACTTTGTTAACGATCTATTGATTTTGATCCTTAACACTTGTCTATTAATTTTAAAGATTTTTAAAAATTATATATATACATATATATATATGTATATACACACACACACACATGTATGTATCACATGTATGCAGGCATCATCAGAGGCCAAAAGAGGGGTCGAGTCACCTGAGCCTGGAGATAAAAGTGCTTGTGAACTACCTGACATGGGTGCTGGAAGCTGAACTCTGGTCCTCTGGAAGAGCAGCAAATGCCCTCAACCACTGAGCCATCTCTCTAGCCCTGATTGTTAATCTCAATTGAGAACATTGTCACAAGTGCTGAAAAAAAAGGATCTGAGGTACACTTGGATGGTACAGTAGCTAGTTTTCACCAGTTACCTGGATTTTTAAAAAAAATCTATATTTATTCCCTGAGAATTTCATGCATGTATACAATGTATTTTGGCCTTACCCAAACCCCACTCTGGCATCTCCCTCACCCCAAACTTGCCCACAACACACACACACGTTCCTCTCCCAACTTCATGTCTTTTTTTTAACCCACCGAGTTCAGTTAATACAACAAATACATAATCTCTGGTTTTTGATACGATCTATTGGTGTCTTTTGATCAAGACTGTTAATATTTAGAGTTATTGATCCCTGTACACTGATCCCTGACACCTTGTTGATTTTGTAGTGTTTGGTGTTTTTCCTCTTCTCC